GGGGATGGAGTGTAGGGCCTCACCCATGGCAGGCAGATGCTCTACCACTGAGCTACACCCCAGTCCTTGCCCTTTGTTATGCTTTTGCTTTCTGCAACATTTTTCTGTCTATAAAATCAACCTCAGAGGAGGCATTGGAACCTCAGTTCATTGGAAGATTTATTCTGTTTTATGGAACAAAGTGTTTACTGGGTTCTAGAAACACAAATAAAACCAATTAGGATATTTAAACTTGAAGGTGTAGCTCAGCTCTTCTCCCCTACCCTTGACTCTTCCCTCCATGGTTCTAGCCTCCATGGTTCTGTGGTGTTCTTGGAGCCTTCGGCCTCTAGGTCCTTCTCTAGCAGTTCCTGCTGCCTGGCATGTTCTTCCCCCAGTATCCACTTGCCACCACCCTCTCACCACGCCACTCAATCCCGCAAGCTACACCACATGCTCATGATTCCTCTTCCCTAACTCCTGAAGTATTCACCACTGTATCTTCACTTGTTTATTATGTTTACTGTTTGCATCTCCCTTCACTAGGAAGTTAGTTCCACAAGGGTACGGTCTCTTTTACTTAGTGAGTTAGTTCAAGGGCCCAGGGATAGTGACCGGCCCTTCGTTGATGTTCCATATATACTGGTTAAATGAGTGAAGCTAGTTTCCTGAGCTCCCTCAGAGTGAGAGCTGAGTTTGGCTGAAGACATAGCCCAGGAACTTTCTGGATAAGTTTGTTATGATTCCCAGGGCCAATAGCTACCTGCCCAGGCTTAGATTTCCCCCCAGATACAAAAGAAACCAGCCCAGACAAAATTCAGCAAACCCAAGGAAACATTCAGCCAAATTTCCTTCTCAAGGTTTCTATCAAGATCCTCATCTACAAGCAGGGGGTGTTGGGATTAGGACCTGAGGGGGCAGAGCTGTTGGTATTTTGAACTGTTAAAAAGAAAAAGGAAATGGTTTGGGAAGTCCCCTATTAAGGTGAAAAAGGCAACTGTCAGTACATTAGGCTTTGGTTTAGGGACCCACCTGCACCTGGAATGAGGAAGCCCTTTGCCCTGCTGGGGTAGGGCTGGGAGAGGGGAGGAAGATGACCAAGACGAGCTGGTTCTTGCTGGGCTTCTTCCCCGTCTTCTCTTGGGATGAGCTTCTCAGTGGATCACAGCTGCCAGACAGGGTCTCACAGAATTCACATCACTGTGGTGTCCCAAGCCTGTCCTTTCTCATCCAAAAATCTCTTAGGGGAAAATCCATTCTTCTATTTTATAAAGCAAGGAACTAAAGTTGAGTGGGGTGGAATGGGCTTGGTATATAGATCAATAGCATTCCTGAAACTGGGGTCTAAGATACCCACTCCAAGCACCAAGTCATGTCACACATGGACCCCTGCAGCCTCTTCTGGGAGAGTCCCCTTCCTCTTCCCTGGGACAATTTTTCTTTCTAGGCAGAAATTTCATCCCCAAATGGGATAAAGTTCTAGAAGATAGTGTCATCCCACAGGGCCAACAATACCCCAGAGCTCTTGTTGACTGAGGTCCAAAGAAGGCAAATAACTTCTATACTGCCACTAAGGACAGAGCTGGAAACAGACTTGGACCACATTTTGTTGCAATTTCAAATTTCTTTCAACCTGAGGTTTTTTTTTTTTTTTTTTTTTAATTCTAGGGGTTGAACCCAGGGGCACTTAACCACTGAGCTACATCCCCAGTCCCCTTTTTTCTTCCCTGTACATACATAACTATGGTTAAGTTTAATTTATGAATGAGGCATAGTCAGAAATTATCAATAAAACAGAACAAATGCAAAAATGCACCATAAAAATCATGTGAATGTGTTCTCTCTCAAGATACCTTACAGTAAATTCACATTTTCACTAAAGCAAGCACCTCACAGTTCTCTGGCAGGTCTGAGCTGCCAGCAGGGCTGCTCTATGCTTTGGAGTCGTTATTAAGTAAAATGAGGGGCTGAGGTTGTGGCTCAGTGGTACAGCACTTGCCTCGAACCTATGAGGCAGTGGGTTCGATCCTCAGCACCGCATAAAAATAAATAAACAAAATAAAGGTATTGTGTCCATTTACTACTAAAAAAGAAAAGTAAAACGAGGGCCAAGCACTGCAATATGGCAACAGTCTGATGACCAAGATGCCTACTAGATGACCAACGGGGAGCACACAGTGTGGACACACTGGACAAAAAAACCTCATATGCTTGGAGGGAGCCAAATGCAATTTAAAACATGCAACTTGTTTACTTCTGTTTTTTTTTTTTTTTCTATTTAAGATCTCCAGGTCATGGTTGATTACTGGCAACTGGGACGTCAGTAATCTCAGATAAGGGATCACTGTACCTGAGGAGGGAGTAGATGGTCTGGATGGGTGGACGATAGGTTCAGGTTCATGGCCCATTGCATCAACAAGGAAACTGCACGTGGTGCCGGCAGAGGGCTTAGTAGCTTTTAAGATTTTCATGCAGAACACGACCCTGAATCTTCAGATTACTGGCACAGGCGAAAACAGAAACAGGCTACAAGTCTTGGCAGGGAGCTAAGTTGTATGACCCTAATTAATTCTATGCTATGGTTTCAGGGAGGAAGAGGGACTGAGATGTCTTCTTGCAGGTGCAGGCTAGATATGGCTTGGGTGATGGGTAAGAGGCCAGAGATCAGTGCTCCAGGGAGAATAGGAGATGTTTCTAGATTCTATGAAGAAACAATGACACATCCGTGTGCAGTTGTCCCTTGCTGTCCACAGGGCTGGCCCAGGACTCTCTCAAGGACACTAAATCCACAGGCACTAGAGTCCCTTCTATAAAATGGCATCCTATTTGCACAGAACTGATAACAACCTCCCGCACACCTTAAATCCTCTTTAGGTGACTTAGGACACCTAAAATAATATGCACATAGTGTCATGCTGTATTGTTCAGGGAATCATGACAAGAAAACAGGTCAGTCCGTGCTCAGTACAGATCAGTTCTTTCCCCCAAACAGTTCTGATTCATAGTTGGTTGAAGGCATAGATGTGGAACCTGCAGATACTCCAGCACCAGGCGGCCCCCAGGATGGTCCTCTCCATGCCGCTGGAAGTTGGTGCTCTGGGTCTTGCGGGGGCGCTCTCACCTGAGATCACTATGCACTGGTTTACACGCTTCCTCAGCATGGCGTAGAAGGCCACAACGGTCAGCGCAAAGACGCACGGCTCCAGCTTGCCCAGCTGCTGTTTTTCCTGCATCTTTACCTACTTGGGGGTGGTAGATTGGGAGGGACTTGAAGGGGTTGATGGTCACCAGGATGCTCCTCGTGTACATGTAGATCTTCTGCTGAAGAAGCGGTGCTTGAGTTTCTTCAAGAAGTTGTCCTTGGGGAAGGTTGCACAGTTTGTCAAAGTCCCCCTGTTGTTGCGGCAAGAGGCCACGCTCCACCAGGCGCCAGGCGGCCGTGGCCTGGGCCACCAACTGCATGTGCATGTACTTGATGGTCCTGTCTGCCTTGCGCTCCTGCAGCAGGAAGTAGTAGGTGTAGTAGGTCCCGTCTGCATTGTGCTCCTGCAGTAGGAAGTAGTAGGTGTCCTCCTGAGGGTAGTAGGTGTCCTCCTGAGCCCTCCGGGGCCACAGCAGCATGTGGTGCAGCGGTGAGTCATTGACGCCCAGCACCCACTCCTCCTCCTTGACCTCCACCAGCACGTAGCACTGGATGCCCATCATCCGCAGGTTGGCGGTGGTATCCTTGATGATGTGGTGTGGTCAGATGTAATGTTGTCCTTGATGGTGGTCATGTAACAGGAGGCCCTCGGTGGTGGACAGCGTGGGTAGATGTGCAGGTGATAGGCTGCCTGCTCCTGGCGGCCAGAGCTGCCCACCTCTTGCACACTCATCCGGTGGGCCTCCTGGCTTCAGCATGTCTCCCAGGCTTCTGGCGAGCATGTCCTGGAGCTGGCCCTAGGCGGCGGCGTGCCAGTCCTGTGCCGAGTCTCTGCCTGGACACCCGCCAGCCCGCCTGCAGCTTCTCCAGCAGATCCTCCCCATCCCTTTTGGAGACAGGGTCTCACTAAATTGCTGAGGCTGGCCTTGAACTTGTGATCCTCCTGCCTCAGCTTCCTGAGTTGCCAGGATTATAGGTGTGCGTCACCACATCTGGCCCGGAGGTTTTGATTCCATGATACCCGTCAAACATGTTTCCTCTATCCCAGGGCTACTCTCATCAAAAAGATCTTACTTAAAATTCCCAAAGTACCTTGTCTGGCTACTAGTTATCCAGCTCATGTCCTTGGCTTTGGGGGGATAAGATTCTTCTCTAGAAAATCAGGACTAATCCCCTATGGGTCCCTAAATCATGACCCTCACACTTACCCTCCTAAGTCATGACACTCAGATAAGCCTGCTTACCTTCCTTGCTTGGGGACATGGTCCTAGCTTTGGCTTGGATGAGGAATCACAGAATGTTGAAGATGGAAGGATGATAGAGATTAAAGCCCTGGCCCACATTGGGGAGCAGTCTCCTTAAAACCTCAGGGGGGCTGTCCTTTCTCTCTATTGCTTGAGGACCACAGTGGCTATCAGGACTTCTGCTTATTCACTGAGCACCTAAAATGTATATATTCTTGATGAGCACTAATTATGTAGCCAGTATTGCGTAAAAGCTTTACTGTCTCACATGTTCCTTAAAAGAATGAGGTAGACACTATATCCATTTTATAGATCAGGAAGTTGTGGCTCAGGAATTTTCTCTTATTTGTCCTAGATCGTAGAGCTGATAAGGTCTAGGATCAGGAATGAAACCCAAGTCTGTGCATGGAGCCCAAACCCCAGGTATGGCAGAAAGGAGGTGAAACACCATCTCCCTTGGCCTCCCTAGCTGCAAGACTGTGGGGGTGAATATCACCATGGAAATGATGACATGAATCAGACTTTAGAGAGGCAAGATTATTGGGCAAGAAGGGCAGGAAGATTAGGTTGCTGATACCCCTGACCTGCCAGCTCTCAGCCTGCACCTGGCTGCATCCTGGAAACTATCCAGTCACACCTAGGCAGGTGGCCTGCCCCTCCTCCCTGGGTTGAGGAAGCAGGAAAAGGTGGTGGTGAGAGGCAGCAGGCAGGTCTGCTAGGCAGTGGTGATCAGCGCCCCAGCTAGGATGAGCTCTGTGAGGGGCCTGGTTCTGCCCCTTCTTTTCTTTTGCTGGGAGACTGGAGTCTTGGGAAGTTCTGCAGGTAAGGAGGGGAGAGGGGCCTTATGGGCTTCTTCCCCTGCAGTGTTCTGGGTGTGAATTTCAGTAGAAGCAGTGGGGGTGGGTGAGGGTGGGCTCTTTCATGAATTATAATTAACCAGAGGCTATATGGGAAGTGTGATTATTGTTGACAATGAATATACAAATGGCAGTGTGTGTCAGCTAGCAATGCAGCCATCACTGTAAGGGTCTTTGTAAATTTGTCTTTATGAATGTGGCAGTGTACATGGGATGGTGGTGGGCGGGGGACAGAAGGTGTCAGCTGATGATAATTCTGTCTAAAGTTGAAGAATGTGACTTAAGAGTCGGACACTTTTGTTACTTAGCATAGATTTCCTTCAAAATGTGGCTTTTGTGTGAAAAGCCTGTCACAAAATTCTTGGACAGAAGAGGCTGGGCTTTTATGGTAGAAGAGAGTTAACACTAATCTGTCACTGACAGGCACTATGCCAAGCTCACTAGATACATTTAAAAATAGACTTCTTAAAAAGCAATTTTAAGTTCATAGCCAAATCGAACACAGCAAACATTTCCCATATACCTCTGTGTCTATCATATACAAACTCCCCATTATCCACATCCCACGCCCACATTGACATGTAATCATCATACATTTTTTCTTAGTCCTCAGACTAACCCTATAAGATAGGTACTAGCCTTATTCCCACTGTCACCCTTTATTTTATTATTAATTAATTAATTATTCTGGTTTTGGGGCTTGAACCCAGGGGCACACTACCACTAAGCTACATGCCTAGTCCTTTCTCATTTTTTGTTTTGAGACAAGGACTCACTAAGTTGCTGAGACTGAACTCAAACTTAGGATCGTCCTGCCTCAGCCTCCCAAGTACCTGGAATTACAGGTTGTACCCCCATATCAGGCTCACCCTCACCCCTTTAAAGGCAAGGAGACTGAGGCTTATGGGGATTAAGTCATTTATTCACAGAGCCAGGAAGTAATGTCACATGTGCCTAACCACTGGACCACACTGACTCCCACATGCCCTCAGACCACCAGGTTTGTGCTACATATTCCACTTCACTTCATTTAATCCTTACATGAACCCCGTGAAGTATGTGCTCCGAGTCTCATTTTATGAATGAGAAAATGCAGGCTTGGAACTGGGAGATGTGGCCAGGATCACGCAGCAGAGCAAGCAGAAGAAAGAGGACTCAGATCAGGTTCCAAAGTCCACCCTTTCCTCCCCATGAGCCTGGGTGAACAGAGTGGGAGAGTTGCAACATTCTAGAGCCCTGGAGAGATGAGTAGGTTTTGCTCTGTTCCAGAAAACAATGGCAGGAAAGAGGCTCCGGATGGGGCCTCCCCAGCTCTGGAGATAAAGAGGCCTTGGGTTTGAGGGGGATGGGGAGGTTTCGTAGCAGATATGACAACCCAAGCTTCCTGGAAACAGTGGACAATGTGCCAGTGGAGGTTAGGGGTCAGACTGCAAGACAGTCACCGCCACTGTTTGGGCATCTGGCTGTGTGGATTGGGCAACAAGGCTCTGCCTCCTTTTCATGGGGACCAGCCAGGAGGCTCAGGGAAATAGCTCAGGAAGAAGAAGAACTTAAGACAGCAGACTGGCAGTTCCTGTGTAAGCATCATTTCTGTGAGCAGCTGAGCTGAGTGGAATAGATAATGAGTGCGTGTCCCCATGGTCCATCCAAAGTGCATGTGGGACACAATCTGAAATCCCCAGTATTAAGCCAGGCTGTGTGCTTTCAGGTCACTCCTTGAGGGGACACAATGGAGATGTTCCACACCTGTTGCAGGCTTCGGAATATCAGAGCTCTCCCATTCACCTCCTCCCTTGGTACTGATTGCTGTGGCATGGTGGGTGTTGTGACCATCTTTCCCCAGGTGAAGATATGAAGCCTGGGAGAAATCCATCTGGAGGACAGGCTAGCTACTAGGAGGCAGCTGGGATTTCAATCTGTAGATCATCTGAGCAAATAAGTAGCAGTCTTGGGGCTGCAGCACAGTCTCTTAACTCCTGCTCTGTCACTCAAAGAGGTCCAAGGGAGGATGAGCCAAGGACCTGATACCCTGCCTTCACCCACCACATGGAGGGTCGGGGCCTTTCCTTGGACTATGTTTGGGCTAGTGGATCTCAGTAAAGACATCTTAAAACATCAGAATGCCAAAAAGGGTTGTTCCCGTTTAGATCCTTTTCCTTCCAAGAGTAGGATTGCCAGATGAACCACAAGATAGCTGGTTAAATTTGAATTTCAGGTGATGAAATTTTTAAAATATAAGTATGTTTAAAATATTTCATGAAAAATACTTATACTAAAAAATTATTCACTCTCTCATATAGTTAAAAAAGTTACTCATTGTTCATCTGAAATACAAATTCAAATTTAACTGTATATCTTATATATTTTTACTTGCTGAATCTGGAAGAGCTACCCAAGAGCAGCGGGTTGTCTGGCCCACTCACAGAGAGAGCCCTCCCCTTGAGTAGGCAGGAGAGGCACCTTTCTCAGGCCATAAAAGATACTGATACTGGCCAGATCTCCACTGCCATGACCCCAGAGGGCCTATGAATAGGCCTGCTGTTCTACAGGGAAGTTCTAGCAGCTTCTCTCTAAAACATTAAGCTTTGCCTCACTGGACTCCCTGTGACATGTGGAAGATGCTTGGCCCGTTGGCCCATTGCTTCTGTAGTTCTGGGGTTCCAGCCCTGTAGTTCTCAGGTCCACCTTGGGAAGAGCCCTGGGCAGGGATGGGAGGTGCTCTCTTCCCTTGCTGCAGCCCCAGGGACTCTGCTGCTATCCTTGCTTTTGAAACAACATGCCCTACATTCACACAGGAGCTTCTTCTTCCCCAATCCTCCCAGCTATCTTTACAGACAGAAACCACAAGTCTTTCTTATATTTTAAGAAAATACTTCCAGCTGGATGTGGTAACACATATCTGTAATCCAAGCAATTTACTGAGGCTGGAGGATCTCATGTATGAGGCCAGCCTCAGCAACTTAGCAAGGCCCTAAGCAACTTAGTGAGACTCTGTCTCAGAAAATAAAAAGAGATGGGCATGGTGTGGCACATGCCAATAATCCCAGAGCTGGATGTATAGCTCCATGGCAAAGCATTCCTGAGTTCAATACCCATTCAAAAAAGAAAAAGAAAATACTTCCATGGGGAAGCACTTTTGGATGAGAAAATATCCATGGAAAAATGACTAGGATTCTTTCAGAAATTTCTGAGAGTCCTGTTCCCTGCTCTGCAGTTGTTGGCTCCTGTGGATTTCTGCCTACTTTGTCCATCCTTGAAGGTAGATCCTGGCCATGCTCAATGCCTCTGATGGCCAAAGATCAATAATCAGCTCAGATACTAGGGCTTGCTGGCCTCAGGTGGGTCATCAGGGCTTCAGAAGCCACTGGTCAGGGTAACCCCAGCTCCATGATTCCCTCATGGGACTGGGCTCCCCAGTACTGCCTCCTTATTCCTCATCATATAGATGGAAAATGGGGTAACAATTACCCCACCTCTCCTGGCAGTGTCCAGGGCATACACATAAGAGCTTGTCTAAAGCCGGTCTGTTGAGACTCAAGGTTCACAAGGTTGGTCTTCCTCAACACAGGCCCCAGCACCAGTAGAACAGTCCCTTTGGTGACATCAAACAACAGAGTAGTACCTACTATGACTCAGGGTGTCAGGACAAGCTCAGAGGGAGGCTTCCAGACCATTGACCTCACTGAGACTTCAACACAAAGCCATGTTTCTTTGAAAACTCAAACCCTGAGCACCAAGACACTTTCCAAGAACTTAATCCCAGTTGGCACCACTTCAAAGGTAGAAACCAGGGAGGCCCAGACCATGTCCCCTGCAATGGAAACCAACACCCTCACAAAGGTAAGAGCTTCCAATTTCAGGGCTGTGGTCACCTCCCCTGTGGAGACTTCTGTCATGAGCAGCAGCCCCACAGGAACTGGAACCACCACAGCTGAGAGAAGTGCAGGCAGTGGTCCCACAGAAGCCATCTTTGATACCCTTTGTACAGATGACAGCTCAGAAGAGACAAAGAGGATGGTGGCTGGCAGCTGGACATTGACCCAGATCTCCCCAGAAGCTGAGAGCTTGTCCTCAGAGAGCAGTTCATCTGCAGACAGCTCAGTCTCGGTCAATACCACCTCACACATTCTGTCACCTGACGCTGCAACTAGGCCCAAGGCCTTAGTGGAATATAGCATAACTCACATTGAGTTCACCAGGGGCAGCGTCATGAAGATAGAAACAGTTGCCACCATCTCTGGGACCTCAGACATAGAATACAGCCCCACAGGAGGGCAGGCCGAGTCCACCTCTGAGATATCAGCTCTGTCCACCTCCACTGAGGCCAAATCACACATCCCCAAGACCACAGCCTCTGCTGAGACCTTGTCAACAGCCAGCACCTCAGAGTCAGCCTCCCCTGACTCCACCCCTGAGGCCCCACTGCCCACCAGTTGCACCACAGAGAGAGAAACAGCAGCAGCCCAGACGCCCACTCCCAGTGGAACCTTGGTGGCAGGTAGCACCAGCCCCTGGGAGGAAACCTCAGCCCTCTCTGCTGGGACAACACGCCACTTGGAGGTCTCGGGAGCTGGTACACATTCCACGGATGATGGGTCAACGGTGGGCAAAGTGGCTTCCTCTGCTGGGCCCAGAGCCTCCATCTACAGCTCCTCAGAGGCAGCCACCATCCAGATCTCCACCTCCTCAGAGACTTTTGCCACAGAGGGCACAACCACGGGGTCCTTCCCCACCAGCAGGAGCCCTCTTCCTTCTGTCCATCCCTCTGCAGCCAGTAGCAGCCAAGAGACACACTTCACCTTCAGCAAGGCCACAGCCACACCAGAGTCCCCAACAGCCACTCCCACCACTGCTCAGACAAGGCAGACCATAGAAGTCCCTGCAGGTAAGTGACTTCCCCGTGTGATCCTTGGGATTGGGGGTTCAGAGTCTCTGGGATGCCTGCATGCTTCAGGAGGCGGGAGGAAGGATGGGTGAATGTGGGTCTATGCTGACCTCTCACCAATGTGACCTCTTCATGGTCTCCTAGTGGTCCTGGCTCTGCCTTAACAAGCTGAGCAAACCTGGCCCAGTCTCTCTCCCTCTCTGAGCCTCAGTTTCCCCACCCATAGCTATCAGGGATTGCACTGGAGGAGCACTGGGGGCCTTTCCAGCTCCAACCTTCCCTGAAGTGAGTGCTGAGTAACTACGGTGCATGTGGCAAGGTCCCAGTTCTTGTTTAAAAGACCTGGTCCTCAGCCTTTGAGAGCCTCTGGTCCAGCCTTAGCCACACAGAGGGGAAGGCTGTGGGGGTCAGAGCCAATATTGCTCTCTGAGCAGATGGAACCCTGTGAAAGTGGGGTCTGCTGGATGTACTTGCGGGGCTCTGTGCCATAGAGGGTGTCCTGAAATATTAATAAATGATAGTGGAGTGAGGGTATGGGAGGTCTCAGAGCTTCATCTTTGTGACAACGTCTAATTCTTAGGGAGCAGTCACGTTCAGAGGCTGCTGGGTGAACCCAGTTCCTGGTCAGCCTGCAGCCTCCAGCTCTGCTCTCTGGCGTTCTGTCCTGTGCCTCTGATCACAACCACTTTAAGGAATACCTTTTGTATGCTACTCAGGGGTGAATCACACATATTTCACACCAGTAGGCACTGGCACCAAAAGTGTCCTCTGTGTTGTCAGGGGGATTGCTCGAAGCTTTGCATTTGCCTCTAATATGTCCTCCCAAACAATATCCAGAGCTGGGCGACGTTACCCACCTCACAGGCGAGGAAACGGTTTTAAGACGTAGTTAAATTGTCCTAGGAATATGGCAGGGGGCTTCAGATGAGAGTCAGTTTGACTCCCAAACTCAGTCTTCCCATTGTGCTTCTATTTTTATAAGCTTAATTTACTAATATATTTTCCTTACTGTTTGCTGATTAGATAATACATTCACAAAACACAAATCCCAAGATATAAAGGGGAGACCAGAGAGTAAAATAAGAGGATCTCAGCATGTACATGTATTTATATACTCCTCTTTTACCTAAGTGGAGCCTATGGTAAACTCAAATTTCTTTGAGAAATCTCTTCTTCCTCCTCCTCCTCCTCCTCCTCCTCCTCCTCTTCTTCTTCTTCCTCCCTCTCTCCTCTCTCTCTCTCTTTCTCTCTCTCTCTCTCTGTTTGACAAGATAAGAAAGTATTATCATTTATTTCATATTTTAAGTTCAGGTTTATGATCTCATATTTTGTCTCTTTGATTTTATTCCCTTAGTTTTTTTGTTTTTGTTTTTGTTTTTATTTGTGTGTGTGCCCCACAGGAGGGCAGGCCGTGTCCACCTCTGAGACTTAAAGCATTATTAATATGAGAGAGGCTAGATTCTCCCTTAGTTTTGTTTTAAAAGGCAAGTTTTAAGAGTATGATGTGTTGTTTAACCAAAGACTGTCTGGTAGGATTATGAGGAAGTTTATGATTTAAAATTATATTTTATTGATTTCAAAATTGTGTAAAAGTATGAGATGCATATGTAGGGGCATTATCCATTTTTAAATGAATAGGGTGGCAAAACAAAGTAATAAATGAGAAATGTAAGTAGATACCTTATTAGACCTTTGGGCACTAGCTCAAATGAACCCAGAATGAGTATGAATAAAAACATGAAGAAAGGAGTTAGGATGAAAAGGAGGGACATGGGTAACATCCATTTGTCAAAGTGTATTAGAATGTAGGCCTCATGGATTTACAGATTTTCACATGGGGGCCTAAAAGGTGAGAATAGTTGTTGACTATAGCATGAACCTGTTGAGAAGAGATGGAAAACATTTTTATTAGTGATTGGGCATTTTGATGAAAAAAAATCCATGGGTTTTACAGCATCTGAAAATAAAGACAAAGGGATTTTATAGCTTTATCTGTGTGAGCATTACTTTCCGTCAAAGGTCAGGAATTTTGGTATGGCTGTGTAGATGAGCGAGGAAGATGGGATTTATGACACTGCAAAAGAGTTTCAAGGGTTAAAAAAAAGAGATAGTAAATTGGAATCCAAATGAGGAGATAACACAGCTACAGAAATATGAGGAGTTAGTTTAGCTAAAATTGTAATAACATTTAAAGTAGTAGAAAACAATTTTAGCATTAGGATAAAAGTGGCAAATTTAGTTTGCTGTGGAGAGAGCTGAGGCAGGGTATAATAGTTATTTCGTTTATCATTAATAAAAACAGATTTACTCCTCTTTATTTACTTTTATCTGTATATACCTTTAATCCATATACAAGAGGAATGGTAGAAATTAAGAAAGAGGGATATAACTAAGGAACCTGATATAACAATGAGAATTGTCCATCATGAGGCATGTGAAAATCAGTTGGTGTTAAAATATCTGTTAATACAATTTGATAGAAGAGAAAGAACTACAAATATTGGAGATATAAAGTTTTTTAATAAGTAAGTTATAAAACATGAATGTTCATTTCTGTTAAGGATAAAATTTTAGCATGACCATTAGTAATTAATTGAGTATACCTAACAGCAAAGAGGTAAAATATTACAGCCTGAAAAATGAGGACAATATAATTATTTTAATATATATACATATAATTTTTGGTTATAATAGTAACCACTGTTGTGAAACCATAAGGTGTTTTAACAAAAACTATCCATGACAATGGCACATTTGATATTGAAAGTTGATCCACCATTATTGTTGATAATCCTTCTTAATTTTCTGTAAAGCCTGTTTTAAAGAAGGAGTTAAATAAAAAAAGGAGGCAGTGTCCTGTTTTTTTAACAACTGGAAAAAAAATGAGAGATCAGTTTGACATCAGTTGTAGTTTTTAATTTATGTATTTAAGAAACTATACTTAAGAAGATTAATCCCATTTATGTTAAATTAATTTACTTATTTTAATTGTAACATAAAAACATAAGAAAAACGTGATTAATAGTATTAACCATCCCTGTTTTTTGAAGAAAAATTTTAGAAGTAATGGATATTATGTTTTAGATATTTTTTAGAAATTAAGACTTTATTGTTTAGTTCCCTAGAAAAACCTCATAAGTCAGAGCCTTAAAGACATCTATATATTTAATTATATGACTTGAATTAAATATTTGGATCCATTTAATTATTAAATTTTTATTTATGATTGCTCAGTTGTTTAGAGGAAGAACTGAAAATATTGGAGATATAATTTACGTTTAAATGTCAATTTTGATATCAAGTACATAATATGTAGATATAAGACAAGCCTGTACAATTGGAAATGTCAGGTATAGAACTCTAACAGGTATCATGGACACTGAAATCAAGAGTTTCAGGTTAGCTGGCACTTTTGTCCTTGATACTTATCAGGCCCACTCCCAACACAACCATATTTATATCTTCCTAAGGATTTATTAAAAGAAATTTTTGAATGTATTTGAGACTTAACTCTGGAGAAATTGGCATTTAGATAAAGACAAAATGTAAAAACTTTTTTTTTTAAAGAGAGAGAATTTTTTTTAATATTTATTTTTTAGTTTTTGGTGGACACAACATCTTTATTTTTATTTTTATGTCGTGCTGAGGATTGAACCCAGCGCCCCGCGTATGCCAGGCGAGCTCGCTACCACTTGAGCCACATCCCCAGCCCAGAGTATAAAAACTTTTATAGTTAGATAAAACAAGACGAATCAGAAAAATACATCAACTTATATAGAATACTTAAAAACTTACATCATCGTAATACTAACTTTTTCATCAGATCAGAGTGTATTTTTAGCTCAATAAGAGCCAGTTGGAAGCCTGTGAAATTCTTAAGAAAAAGCTTTTTTTCAAAAAGAAAGTTTGTGCATTTAGAATGTTTCTACTTTTGTCTTCTGTGTTGTAACATTAGGGAGGAACTGGTCAAGAAAGCCAGCTGAACACAGATAAGACAGCCAGTCAAGCAGTTTGAATTTAAAAGAGACACTTTTTTTCTTTCGTCTTAACTGGTTTTTCATAAGCCTCATAAATCTTGTAGGTTCTATAATTTACATTTTAAATATAAGGCTAGGAAAGTTAGAGATCCAGCAGAAGTTAAGAGGTAAGTAAAACTGTTGTTACCATATTTTTTCTTTTATAAGATAATTTTCTTAAAGCATGATGTTGCAGTTTGCATTTTTTGTGGATAGTTAGTTTTTCCGTTTTTAAAATTTTAACTCTTATACATCTTGTAAGAGTTTCCACATATGGTTGAATATCAGTAATGATTTGTTGTGGATTAGAAAGGATAGAGCATGGTAGCTAGCCACAGGGAGCTTTTGGACACTTGTTTATTTTTGTTTCCTTTGCCCCAGACCAGGGTGGCCTCTTGAGGCCATGCATAAGGCCATACCATAAAAGTATTTATTACCATGACATTAGTATTTGTGCTCAATAACCCTATAATTGACTGTACATTTAAACAAAGAAATTAATTTAGGTCTACTTAAAATAACTGATAAACATGTTTCAATGACAGTAGAGTCAAACCTTGTATTTTTCCTTTTGTTTAAAGGTTGTAACTCTTTAAATACAGCAAAAGGTAAATGATCATATTTAGGTTGGGTAGCAGAATTTATCTTACAGACAGGTAAGTTAGGAGACTCCCCTGCTCCACAGCTGTCCCAAGCACTCAATTAACTGGGATCTAGCTGGGGGCAGGGTGGCTGCCACAGCCAGCCAAGGAGGCAATGACAGTGAATTAGAGGAGTCATAAGTGTGGGAGGCTCCAGGACAGCTCAGGGCAGAGTGTTGTTGCCAGGGCTGTGCCACTGCTGTGGGGGGAGCGGCCGGGGATTTAAAGGGACCGCATAGCCAGGCACAGAAGGAGAAGAGCAGGCAGGTTGATAGAGGTTTTATCAATTGCATCTCTACAAAGAAACCAAGTTTGAAGCACAGGTATAGAAGTCTGTGGCTTCTTGTGAAGCGTTTCACCTATTTTCTCCCAGTCTCTCAAATTTAGTGTCCCACTTTCTTGATAAAAAGGACAACAAGAACTTATCTCTGTCAGCAAGGCAGTAAGATCAGCAGTATTTAGGGTATGTCCAGCCTTGCTAAGTAGGAGAGAAAGCTCGGCCTGATGACGTTGTTGAGCGTCATATAGAGATAGAGAATTACCCTACTGATTAGGGATCAGTACCAGCCGATGAAATAGATGCAGGTCAAAAGCCTGTTCCAGGCATAAGTAAGCTACTCCCTCCCCCGTTACCTATCAACAGTCCGGAAGGGTCTCTATTAAGGTGATTATATGGTCCCAAACTCTCTGTGGACTGGTAGGCCTTTTGGGGAGAAAACTCTTCTTCTGCCCCAACATTGGGTGCTAGTTATAAAGAAATAATAATAAAGAGGGGAGACCCAGTGTCAAGGTGCAAAGGCAGGAAAGTGGCAGAGTGGCTTCTTGTCCAAGTGATCACGTTTATTTATACCAATAGGTTACATTAGGTCATCAGTACCATAGCTACATTATTGTTCAGAGTATCAGTAAGGTTGATTAGTGCTCAGCATATACATATATTTGATATATATATCCATATACTCCTTTTTTACCCAAGTGGAGCCTAGTGGTAAACTCACATTTCTATGAGAAATCTCTTTTATTTTGCCGTGTGTGTGTGTGTGTGTGTGTGTGTGTGTGTTTGACAAGGGAAGAAAAATTTTTTAATTTATTTCATATTTTAAGTTCAGGTTCGTGACTTCATATTTTGTCTCTCTGATTTTATTCCCTTAGTTTTTTTGTTTTTGTTTGTGTGTGTGTGTGTGTGTGTGTGTGTGTGTGTGTGGTAAAAGCACCTGACATGAGATCTACCTTCAGCAGATTTTTAGAGCACAGTATGGTATTGTTCCCGCAGGCACACTGTGCAGCAGATTTCTAGAACTTACAACTGGCAAAAGTAAAATTTTCTTCCCATTGAATAGCAACTCCCATTTCCCACCCCCAGTGAACTGTTCTTTTTTATGACTGCTCAATATTCCATTTTGCTTTCTCATTATTTATTTAGCTAACACTCTGTGGGCCACCACCTCTGGGACCTTGGACTCAAACTACAGCCCCATAGGAGTGCAGGCCATGTCTACCTCTGAGACATCGGCTCTGTCCGCCTCCACTGAGGCCAAATCACATGTCTCCAGGACCACAGCCTCTGCTGAGACCTTGTCAACAGCCAGCGCCTCAGAGTCAGCCTCCCCTGACGCCACCCCTGAGGCCCCACTGCCCACCAGTCTCGGCCCAGAGAGAGAAACAGCAGCAGCCCAGACCTCCACCCCCACCCCCAGTGGAACCTTGGTGGCAGGCAGCACCAGCCCCTGGGAGGAAACCTCAGCCCTCTCTGCTGGGACAACACACCACTTGGAGGTCTCGGGACCTGGTACACACTCCACAACCACTGGGTCAACGGTGGGCACAGTGACTTCCTCTGCTGGGCCCAGAGCCTCCATCTACAGCTCTTCAGAGGCAGCCACCATCCAGGTCTCCACCTCCTCAGAGACTTTTGCCACAGAGGGCACAACCACGGGGTCCTTCCCCACCAGCAGGAGCCCTCTTCCTTCTGTCCATCCCTCTGCAGCCAGTAGCAGCCAAGAGACACACTTCACCTTCAGCAAGGCCACAGCCACACCAGAGTCCCCAATAGCCTCTCCCACCACTGCTCAGACAAGGCAGACCACAGAAGTCCCTGCAGGTAAGTGACTTCCCTGTGTGATCTTTGGAATTGGGGGCTTGGGGTCTCTGGGATGCCTGCATGCTTCAGGAGGTGGGAGGAAGGACGGGTGGGTGTGGGTCTATGCTGACCTCTCACCAATGTGGCCTCTTCATGGTCTCCTAATGGTCCTGGCTCTGCCTTAACAAGCTGAGCAAACCTGGCCCAGTCTCTCTCCCTCTCTGAGCCTCAGTTTCCCCACCCGTAGCTATCAGGGATTGCACTGGAAGAGCACTGGGGGCCTTTCCAGATCCAACCTTCCCTGAAGTGAGTGCTGAGTAACTATGGTGCATGTGGCAAGGTCCCAGCTCTTGTTTAACAGACCTGGTCCTCAGCCTTTGAGAGCCTCTGGTCCAGCCTTAGCCACACAGAGGGAAGGCTGTGGGGGTCAGAGCCAATTATTGCTCTATAAGCAGCTGCGACCCTGTGAACTGGGGCCTGCTGGATGTACTTTCTGGGCTCTGTCCCATAGAGAGTAATGAAATATTGATAAATGACAGTGGGGTGAGAGTGTGGGAGATCTCAGGGCTACATGTTTGTGACAACGTTTAATTCTTGGGGAGCAGTCACGTTCAGAGGCTGCTGGGTTGACCCAGTTCCTGGTCAGCCTGCAGCCTCCAGCTCTGCTCTCTGTCATTCTGTCCTTATGTTTCAACTCTGAGTATCCTTATCTTTCCCTAACTTTCTGGGCATGTGACAAGACATATTAATCACAAACACTTTAAGGAATACCTTTTGTATGCTACTCAGGGGTGACTTACACATATTTGACACCCGTAGGCACTGGCACCAGAGTGTCCTCTCTGCTGTCAGGAGGAGTGCTTGAAGCTTTGCATTTGCCATTGCCTCCAACGTGTCCTCCCAAACAACATCCAGAGCTGGGAATTGTTGCCCCATCTGACAGTGACAATGTAAAGACAGTAACTAAATTGTCCTAGAAATATGACAATGGGATTCAAATGAGTGTTTATTTCATTGCAAAGCTTTAGCCTTTATGCTGTACTTCTATTTTATAAGCTGGCCTTAATATATTTTTATTTATAATACTTTTCTTTATTTTTGTTGATTAGATAATACATTCACATTATTTAAAATCCTCAAAGTACCAAAGACCTCTAGGCCAGGGGGTAAAGTGAGAGACTCTCAGCAAATACAGCTCCTCTTTTTGGCAACCACAGCCTTTGTGGAAGTCTCTCTGTGATAAAGCTATGCTTTTTTTCATCCCTCAAGGGAAGAAAAATGTTTTATTCATATTTGTGATTTCATACTGTGTCTCTGTGATTTTAATCTCTTATTTTGTTTTTATTGTGGTGGGAACATTTAACATGAGATTGACCCTCAACAGATTTTGTTGTTGTTTATTTTTTAAGGGAGAATGGTTCTACTTACATCCTGGATTGATAACCAGTATCATTGCGCATTCTTATCATTAAGCAGAAATTGAAGAAAGTACTCTCCTCATGTTTTTTTTTTCCTTTTTAAAATTAGATCTCTAAACTATTTTGATGAAAGGAGATACACAATCCTAAATAAATGTAAATAAATCTAATTTCTTTTTTGATATTTTTCTTTTCTTATTTTGGTATTAGGGATTGAACCCAAAGGTGCTTTACCACTGAGGTACATCCCCAGCTCCCTTTTCTATTTTTATTTATTTATTTATTGTGTGTGTGTGTGTATGTGTGTGTGTGTGTACGCTTGGGATTGAACCCAGGGCCTTGTGCATGTGAGGCAAGCACTCTATCAACTGAGCTTATCCCCAGCCTCCCAGGCCCCTTTTCTTAATATATATTTTATTTTTATTTTTGAGACAGGGTCTCGCTAAGGTGCTAAGGGTCTCACTAAGTAGCTGAGGCTGGTCTATAGCTTGCAATCCTCCTGCCTCCGCCTCCCAAGTTGCTGGGATGATAGGTGTGCCCCACCATGTCTGGCAATAAAGTCAAATTTCTATATATCAAAGGTAACATATAGCTAGAGACATCATAAAGATTAAAAGGAAATAAAAAACCGAACACATTAATGACTTTAAAGATCAATATACTTAAAGTTGAAATCCAATGTGATGTTTATTTTTAAAAACTCTAAATACACATAAGAAAGATCAGTAGAGGACAGGGAACAGGGGAGGGAGAGGAAGGGAAAGTACTGTAGACTGAATTATATTCCATGACTGTATGATTAAGTCAAAATGAACTCATATTTATGCATGACAATAGGCACTAATTTAAAAAATTTTTAAATAAAAAGTCAATATAGGGCTGGAGTTGTAGCTCAGTAGTAGAGCATTCTCTTTGCACATGTGAGGCACTGTAGATTAAAATCTACAAATTTTAGTTGTAGATGGACACAATACCTTTATTTTATTTATTTATTTTTATGTGGTACTGAGGATTGAACCCAGTGCCTCATATGTGTAAGGCAAGCATTTCGCCACTGAACTACAATCCTAGCCCTAAAAATATTTTAAAAGTCAATATAGATAATCATTCAATATATGGAAAATGCATTACCAAGTTAGACAACAAAGGATTTAAAAAATACTGAGATGCTGTGTTACTCAGCTTTCCATCACTATACTTGAGATAATCAACTAATTTCTAAATTAATTAATTAATTTTCCAGTGGAATGCATTTTGACATATAGTACACAAATGGAGCACAATTCTCATTCCTCTGGCTGTACATGGTTCAGAGTCACTCCACTAGTGTAATCATACATGTATATAGGGTAATAATGTCTGTCTCTTTCTACCGTCCTTCCCATCTCCACAATCCCTCTCCTGACTCCTCTTTCCACAAACCAAAGTTCCTTCATTCTTCCCTATGCCCCTGCCCCACTATGGGTCAGCATCTGCTAATTAGAGAAAATATTCAGCTTTTGCTTTTTGGGATTGGCTTATTTCACTTAGCATGATAGATTCTAATTCCATCCATTTACCTGCAAATGCCATTCTTCTTTAATACTGAGTAATATTTCATTGTGCATATGTAGCACATTTTCTTTATCCATTCCTCTGTTGAAGGGCATCTAGGTTGGTTCCATAGTTTAGCGATTGTGAATTGAGCTGCTATAAACATTGATGTGGCTGCATCACTATAGTATGCTGATTTTAAGTCCTTTGGGCATAAACCAAGGAGTGAGATAGCTGGGTCAAATGATGGTTCCATTCAAAGTTTTCTGATGTATCTTCATACTGCTTTCCATAGTGGTTGCACCAATTTGTAGTCCCACAAACAATGTATGAGTGTACCTTTTCCCCCACATCCTTGCCAACACTTATTATAGCTTGTATTCTTGATAATTGCCATTTGACTGGAGTGAGATGAAATCTTAGAGTAGTTTTGATTTGCATTTCTCTAATTACTAGAGATGATTTGAACATTTTTTCATGTCTGTTGATTGATTGTATTTCTTCTTCTGTAAAGTGTCTGTTCAGTTCCTTAGCCCTTTTATTGATTGGGTTATTTGGGGGGGTTTTTTTGCTGTTATTTTTTTTTCAGTTATTTATATATCCTGGAGATTAGTGCTCTGTCTGAGGTGTGTGTGGTAAAGATTTTTTTCCCATTGTGTAGGTTCTCTCATCACATTATTGATTGTTTCCTTTTCTGAAAAGAAGCTTTTTAGTTTGAATCCATCCCATTTATTGATTCTTGATTTTACTTCTTGTGCTTTAGGAGTCTTGTTCAGGAAGTCAGGTCCTAAGCCAACATGATTAAGATTTGGGCCTACTTTTTCATCTATTAGGCACAGGGTCTCTGTTCTAGTGCCTAAGAGGTTCTCTATCTCTGACTTGAAGTAATCCTTGCTACCTATATTAACTCACCTCTCTCTCCTAGTGGTGAGAGAGGTGAGTTAAAGTCACTCAGTATTATTGTGTTGTGGTCTATTTGATTCTTGAAATTGAGAAGGGTTTGTTTTATGTACATGGATACCCCATTGTTTGGGGCATAGATATTTATGATTGTTATGTCTCATTGATGTATGATTCCCTTAAGCAGTAAGAAATGACCATCTTTATCCCTTCTAACTATCTTTGGTTTGACGTCTACTTTATTTGATATGAGGGTGGAAATCCCTGCTTGTTTACGCAGTCCATGTGAGTGGTATGTTTTTTCCCAACCTTTCACCTTCAGTCTGTGGATGGCTTTTCCTATGAGATGAGTCTCTTGAAGTCAGCCTATTGTTGGGGCTTTTATTTTATTTATTTTTAGCCAATCTGCCAGTCTATGTCTTTTAATTGATGAGTTTAGGCCATTAACTTTCAGGGTTATCATTGAAATATGGTTTGTATTTCTGGCCATTTTGGTTTATTTTTTGTTTTTAACTTGACTTGGTTTCTCCTTTGATTGGCTTTCCTTTAGCATAGTTCCTCCCTTTGCTGATTTTCATTGTTGTTTTTCATTTCCTCGCCATGGAATATTTTGCTGAGAATGTTCTATAGTACAGGCTTTCTTGTTGTAAATTTTGTTTGTCATGGAAGGTTTTTATTTTGTCATCAAATTTGAAGCTTAATTTTTCTGAATATAAGATTCTTGGTTAGCGTCCATTTTCTTTTTTTTTTTTTTTTTTTTTTTTAATTTTTTTTATTGGTTGTTCAAAACATTATAAAGCTCTTCACATATCATATTTCATACATTAGATTCAAGTTGGTTATGAACTCCCAATTTTACCCCAAATACAGATTGCAGAATCACATCGGTTACACATCCACATTTTTACATAATGCCCTATTAGTAACTGTTGTATTCTGCTACCTTTCCTATCCTCTACCATCCCCCCTCCCTCCCCTCCCATCTTCTCTCTCTACCCCATCCACTGTAATTCATATCTCTCCTTGTTTATTTTCCCATTCCCCTCACAACCTCTTATATGTAATTTTGTATAACAATGAGGGTCTCCCTCCATTACCATGCAATTTCCCTTTTCTCTCCCTTTCCATCCCACCTCATGTATCTGTTTAATGTTAATCTTTTCTTCCTGCTCTTCCTCCCTGCTCTGTTCTTAGTTGCTCTCATTATATCAAAGAAGACATTTGGTATTTGTTTTTTAGGGATTGGCTAGCTTCACTAAGCATAATCTGCTCTAGTGCCATCCATTTCCCTGCAAATTCTATGATTTTGTCATTTTTTAGTGCTGCGTAATACTCCATGGTGTATAAATGCCACATTTTTTTTATCCATTCATCTATTGAAGGGCATCTGGGTTGGTTCCACAGTCTAGCAATTGTGAATTGTGCTGCTATGAACATCGATGTAGCAGTATCCCTGTAGTATGCTCTTTTAAGGTCTTCAGGGAAAAGTCCAAGAAGGGCAATAGCTGGGTCAAATGGTGGTTCCATTCCCAGCTTTCCCAGGAGTCTCCATACTGTTTTCCAGATTGGCCGCACCAGTTTGCAGTCCCACCAGCAATGTACAAGAGTACCCTTTTCCCCACATCCTCTCCAGCACTTGTTTTTGTTTGTCTTCATAATGGCTGCCAATCTTACTGGAGTGAGATGGTATCTTAGGGTGGTTTTGATTTGCATTTCTCTGACTGCTAGAGATGGTGAGCATTTTTTCATGTACTTGTTGATTGATTGTATGTCCTCCTCTGAGAAGTGTCTGTTCAGGTCTTTGGCCCATTTGCTGATTGGGTTATTTGTTTTCTTATTGTTTAATTTTTTGAGTTCTTTGTATACTCTGGATATTAGGGCTCTATCTGAAGTGTGAGGAGTAAAAATTTGTTCCCATGATGTAGGCTCCCTATTTACCTCTTTTATTGTTTCTCTTGCTGAGAGAAAACTTTTCAGTTTAAGTAAGTCCCATTTGTTGATTTTTGTTATCAACTTTTGTGCTATGGGTGTCCTATTAAGGAATTTGGAGCCCGACCCTACAATATGTAGATCGGAGCCAACTTTTTCTTCTATCAGACGCAGAGTCTCTGATTTGATATCTAGCTCCTTGATCCACTTTGAGTTAACTTTTGTGCATGGCGAGAGGAGGGGATTCAGTTTCATTTTGTTGCATATGGATTTCCAGTTTTCCCAGCACCATTTGTTGAAGATGCTATCCTCCCTCCATTGCATGCTTTTAGCTCCTTTATCAAATATAAGATAGTTGTAGCTTTGTGGATTAGTCTCTGTGTCCTCTATTCTGTACCATTGGTCCACCCTCCTGTTTTGGTACCAGTACCATGCTGTTTTTGTTACTATTGCTCTGTAATATAGTTTTAAGTCTGGTATCGCTATACCGCCTGATTCACACTTCCTGCTTAGAATTGCTTTTGCTATTCTGGGTCTTTTATTTTTCCATATGAATTTCATGATTGCTTTATCCATTTCTACAAGAAATGCCGTTGGGATTTTGATTGGCATTGCATTAAACCTATAGAGAACTTTTGGTAATATCGCCATTTTGATGATGTTAGTTCTGCCTATCCATGAACAGGGTATATTTTTCCATCTTCTAAGATCTTCTTCTACTTCTCTTTTTAGGGTTTTGTAGTTTTCATTATATAAATCTTTCACCTCTCTTGTTAGGTTGATTCCCAAGTATTTTATTTTTTTTGAGGATATTGTGAATGGAGTGTTTTTCCTCATTTCCGTTTCAGAAGTTTTGTCGCTGATATACAGAAATGCCTTTGATTTATGCGTGTTGATTTTATATCCTGCCACTTTGCTGAATTCATTTATTAGTTCTAGTAGTTTTTTTGTAGACCCTTTTGGGTCTTCTAGGTATAGAATCATGTCATCTGCAAATAGTGATAATTTAAGTTCTTCCTTTCCTATTTTTATGCCTTTAATTTCTTTCGTCTGTCTAATTGCTCTGGCCAGTGTTTCGAGAACTATATTGAATAGAAGTGGTGATAGAGGGCAGCGTCCATTTTCTTTCAGAGCTTGGTATATGTTGTTCAAAGATCTCCTGGGTTTGAGGGTCTGGGTTGAGAAATCTGCTGAGATCTGAATTGGAATCCCTCTGTATGTAATCTGAAACTTTTCTCTTGTGACTTTAAAATTCTATCCTTATTCTGTATGCAAGGCATTTTTATTATAATGTGCCTTGGTGTGGACCTGTTGTAGTTTTGTACATTTGGTGTCCTGTAAGCCTCTTGCATTTGATTTTCCAACTCATTCTTCATGTTTGGGAAATTTTCTGATATTATTGATATTATTATTTCTGAGATTGTGCATTCCTTTGGTTTGTATCTCTTTGCATTCCTCTATCCAGATAATTCTTAGATTTGGTCTTTTCATTTTATTCCATAATTCTTGAACATTCTGTTCATGGTTTCTTATCATCTTCATTGTGTGGTCTACTTTGTTTTCCAGATTATAAATTTTGTCTTCATTGCCTGAGGTTCTGTCTTCCATGTGATCTAGTCTGTTGGTGACGCTTTCTATTAAATTTTTTTATTTGGTTTATTGTTTCCTTCATTTCAAGTATTTGTGTGTGTGTGTGTGTGTGTGTTTTCAGAGTCTCTATCTCTGTCTTAAAGTAATCCTTGCTACCTGTATTTGCTTTCTTATCTCTTTGTTGGAGTGATCAATCATTGCCTGTATTTGCTCTCTTATATTAGTCTATGCTTCACAGATCACTTTAATTATGTACATTCTGAACTCCTTCTCTGACATTTCATCCACTGTGCTGTCAATGGATTCTGTTATTGGAACATCTTGGTCTGTTTGGAGCATTTTCTTCCCTTGCTTTTTCATGTTGTTCATGTGTCTTCCTTTCTAGCAGTGCAGATTTGAGGTATTATAGTTTCTACACTATAATTTTGTGGTGTCTCTGCAGGTTACCAATACCTCGCCTCTGGTGTAATCAGGCCTGCAGGGGCCTTGGTGATGGTCTTCCCAGTCTTGGTTCATGTCTCTAGACAGAAGTGGCTGGGACAGCCACATGTTGGTAGATGGGGTCTCAGTGCGTTCTCCTCCTCCACTTGTGCAGGTCTCCTCCTCTGTGTCATGGGCCAGAGTCAGTCAGCTCCACCTCCTCTGTGTTTCAGGCAGGAGTCAGTCTGACGAGGTAATAGACTTATAAGGAGAAAAGGCTGATTTTGGCTCTAAGTTTTGGAGGTTTCAGTCCATGATCAGTTAAGCCTATTGCTTTTGGGTTTGTGGTAAGACAACACATTATGGTGGGCAGTGTGTATTACAGGAAAAAAACGCATACCGTAGGGCAAGGGAACAGAAGAGAGGAAGAGGAAGGGGCTGCAGTCCCAACAACTGTCTTCAAGGGCAATCCCCATGAACTAAGGTTCTCCCACAAGCCTCCACTGCCTGGGGCCTAAACCTGTAATACAGAGACCTCTGGGGGACACTTATACAAACCACAACATAAGCAATCCACACCTGTTGATGTTTGAGAAATTGTTAGACAAATTTTCAAGATTGTGAAATAGATATTCCCATGCACTGTGGTAAAGAAACAAATGGTCAATCAAGTAAGTCCAAAGCTATGCACCTGGGGCTTGTGATACATTAAAAGTCACCATTGGTGTTTGTAAAGTCTCCTTATTGCAGTATGTTCCTTCTCAGCCTTGGACCTGAGGATTTTATTGGTTTCAGAGGTCTCAGTCCATTGATGACCAGCTCCATTGCTCTGGGCCCAAAATGAGGCAGAACATCAGGGCGGAAGAGTTTAAAGGAGGAAAGTAGCCCAGGATGAGGCAAGCAGGAAGCAGAGGGACCCTCGGCAATTTTTAAGTGCACAGTACAGAATTGTTCACGCAGGCACACTGTGCAGCAGATTTCTAGAACTTTGAACAGGCAAAACTGAAATTTTGTTCCCATTGAATAGCAATTCCCATTCCCCCCCCCCATAAATTGTTCTATTTCATAACTGCTGAATATTCCATTTTGCTTTCTCATTATTTATTTAGCTAACATTCTGTGGGCCACCACCTCTGGGACCTTGGACTCAGACTATAGCCCTACAGGAGGGCAGGCCGTGTCCACCTCTGAGATATCAGCTCTGTCCACCTCCACTGAGGCCAAATCACACATCCCCAAGACCACAGCCTCTGCTGAGACCTTGTCAGCAGCCAGCACCTCAGAGTCAGCCTCCCCTGACTCCACCCCTGAGGCCCCACTGCCCACCAGTCGCACCACAGAGAGAGAAACAGCAGCAGCCCAGACGCCCACTCCCAGTGGAACCTTGGTGGCAGGTAGCACCAGCCCCTGGGAGGAAACCTCAGCCCTCTCTGCTGGGACAACACACCACTTGGAGGTCTCGGGACCTGGTACACACTCCACAGACTTTGGGTCAATGGTGGGCACAGTGACTTCCTCTGCTGGGCCCAGAGCCTCCGTCTACAGCTCTTCAGAGGCAGCCACCATCCAGGTCTCCACCCTCTCAGAGACTTTTGCCACAGAGGGCACAACCACGGGGTCCTTCCCCACCAGCAGGAGCCCTCTTCCTTCTGTCCATCCCTCTACAGTCAATAGCAGCCAAGAGACACACTTCACCTTCAGCAAGGCCACAGCCCCACTGGAGTCCCCAACAGCCACTCCCACCACTGCTCAGACAAGGCAGACCACAGAAGTCCCTGCAGGTAAGTGACTTCCCCGTGTGACCCTTGGGATTGGGGGTTTGGGGTCTCTGGGATGCCTGCATGCTTCAGGAGGTGGGAGGAAGGACGGGTGGGTGTGGGACTATGCTGACCTCTCACCAATGTGGCCTCTTCATGGTCTTCTAGTGCTTTTGCCAAAGTCAGCCCTGAGCAGAGTTAGGGGGTGTATGAAAAGCGTGTCAGCTGCATGTCTGGAGAAGTGGCCTGAGATCCTCACTCTGCCTTAACTAGCTGAGTGAACTTGGCCCTGACCCTCTCCCTCTCTGAGCCTCAGTTTCCTCACCGTAGCTATCAGGGATTGCACTGGAGGAGCACTGGGGGCCTTTCCAGCTCCATGAAGTGAAGTGCTGAGTAACTATGGTGCATGTGGCAAGGTCCCAGCTCTTATTTAAAAGCCCTGGTCCTCGGCCTTTGAAAGCCTCTGGTCCAGCCATAGCCACACAAAGGGGAGGCTGTGGGGGTCAGAACCAATTATTGCTCTCTGAGCAGCTGCGACCCTGTGAAAGTGGGGCCTGCTGGATGTACTTACAGGGCTCTGTGCCATGGATAGTGTCCTGAAATATTAATAAATGACAGTGGGGTGAGGGTGTGGGAGGTCTCAGAGCTACATCTCTGTGACAACGAATAATTCTCAGGGAGCAGTCACGTTCAGAGGCTGCTGTGTGAACCCGGCTCCTGGTCAGCCTTCAGCCTCCAGCTCCACTCTCTGGCACTCTGTCCTGTGCCTCTGAGCACAACCACTTTAAGGAATACCTTTTGTATGCTACTCAGGGGTGACCTACACATATTTCATGTCCAGTAGGCACTGTCACCAGCAGTGTCGTCTCTGTCATCAGGAGGAGTGCTTGAAGCTTTGCATTTGCCTCTAATGTCTCCTCCCAAACAATGTCAGGAGCTGGGCGACATTACTCACCTCACAGGCGAGGAAACAAGTTTTAAGACATAGTTAAATTGTCCTAGAAATATGGCAGGGGGCTTCAGATGAGAGTCAGTTTGACTCCCAAACTCACAGTCTTCCCATTGTGCTTCTATTTTTATAAGCTTAATTTACTAATATATTTTCCTTATTGTTTGTTGATTAGATAATACATTCACATAACACAAGTCCTAAGATACAATGGGGAGGCCAGAGAGTAAAGTAAGAGGTTCTCTGTAAAGGAATAATAATAAAGACGGTAGATACAGAGGTAAGTGCCTCAGAGTCAGGAAACTGGCAGAGTGACTCCTGTCCAAGTGGCCACGTTTATTTATACCAACAGGTTACGTTAGGTGATTAGTACCATACCTACATTACTGTTTAGAGTATCAGTAAGGTTCCTTATTCTGCAGTTACATTTCATAGTTAAAATATGCAATGTTAAGGGCTTGGTGCTGTCCAAGAACGTCCATTGTCTGATATTACTGTTAGGCAGGCAGCTCCAGGAGCACGGGATCTTGGTGAAACATTGTAGTTATCTAGCAACAAGTTCCTCTATTCCCAGGAGCTATGTGCCTGCAATCCAGGTTGAGGCTTGATGAGACTCTAACACAGAGGCTTCTCAGGGCAGTGGCATACCAGCTAGACATTGCACATATATTAGCTGTATTACTAGATCCTAAGAGAGATTGCAGGGCATTGTAAGGGTGGGAAACATGGTGCCTGTTATCCCCCGGAGTTTCCTTACCCAGGGGAACACTTCCCTGTACATTTCCATAGTCAGAATCCCTACATCTACCCTTTTTTGTTTTTTATGGCCTTTTTAATATATAATATTTGTTTTCTCTTAAATGTCAGTGGGGGTAGAAAATTGTGTAAACATTGGCAACAGCAAGCACAACATAATAATCCCAATATTAGTAAATATCCACCTATGAATAATTGTTTGGCCCAAATAAAGTTGGGTAACCACGAAGTTAGCCAATCCAATAAGTATGGACCTCCATCATCTTGTCGGACCTTTATAATGATATCTTTAAGGTAGTCTAACTCCTTTGAGATAGAATTACTATTATCACTTAAATTGAAGCAACATATATTATTAAGCTCCTAACATCCTTTATGATGTAATAATAGCAAATAATTAATTGTGGCCCAATTGTCAAGTACGGCTTGCTGATGTTGTTTTTGTTCTTATTAAGCATATTAATTGCCATAGAGGTATGATTAATATTTTTACCATAGCACAGTTCAGTTTTATAGTGGTTTTGTAAGCCTCGACAGCCAGTCGAGGGATACCCACTAAGGAAAATGTCAAAGCGTCAAATTTTGCCTTAGAGAGAAGGCTCACTGAATCCTCACAGTTTTTATCAAGGGGAATAGACCTTTTATGGATGCATTGTGCCGGATGATGGCCTATTAAATCCTGTGGGGATGGTAAGAACACAGTTAATCTGCTAATACAATGATGGGTACCATGAGACATTTTGCAGGTATATAACAATTTCAGCCAAGAGAACCCAGATATTATAATGGGTTTTAGAAGTCAAGGAGTCTGACTGTACTGAATTTTCATAGCTGGGGCACAACAACAGAATAACATTATTGTTATGACCAAAGCATTTACAGAGTTTTGTTGAATGTACTAATCAAAGTAGTAACTAAGTTTTCTTGAGTACATTTAACCCTGTTTGAGCCAATTGCTGTTGAGCTGAGGCTGTTAATGATTTTATATCCTCTAAGTCATTGGAAGTCTAGTATCTTGGGATCCTCTTTCAGTGTATCTTTTCTTTTGAGGAGAGTGATAATTGTCCTCTTGTTTGGTGGGACTCTCTTCATCAAGGATCAAATGAAACTTGGGGATCAGGTTGTGAAGTCCTTGATGTCCAATCATAATTGATAGGTCTCACACACTGAGCTGGACTCCAAATTGAACCTGTTGGTGTAAGCATAGCAGCCTATCCTTTTCCCCATGTGATCAGAGACATAGAGTCTTGTCATCCTGGGTCTGATGGAAACCTATATATTACATAAATTTTTGGTAATGGCCGTTTAAGAATAAAATGTCTATTCAAAGCAGATGATCAATTGTGAGTATTCATTTTGTATTGCATGTGATGAGTGCATTAACTGTAAAATAAAGAAATACTTAAAGCATTATTAATATGAGAGAGGCTAGATTCTCCCTTAGTTTTGTTTTAAAAGGCAAGTTTTAAGAGTATGATGTGTTGTTTAACCAAAGACTGTCTGGTAGGATTATGAGGAAGTTTATGATTTAAAATTATATTTTATTGATTTCAAAATTGTGTAAAAGTATGAGATGCATATGTAGGGGCATTATCCATTTTTAAACGAATAGGGTGGCAAAACAAAGTAATAAATGAGAAATGTAAGTAGATACCTTATTAGACCTTTGGGCACTAGCTCAAATGAACCCAGAATGAGTATGAATAAAAACATGAAGAAAGGAGTTAGGATGAAAAGGAGGGACAAGGGTAACATCCATTTGTCAAAGTGTATTAGAATGTAGGCCTCATGGATTTACAGATTTTCACATGGGGGCCTAAAAGGTGAGAATAGTTGTTGACTATAGCATGAACCTGTTGAGAAGAGATGGAAAACATTTTTATTAGTGATTGGGCATTTTGATGAAAAAAAATCCATGGGTTTTACAGCATCTGAAAATAAAGACAAAGGGATTTTATAGCTTTATCTGTGTGAGCATTACTTTCCGTCAAAGGTCAGGAATTTTGGTATGGCTGTGTATATGATCGAGGAAGATGGGATTTATGACACTGCAAAAGAGTTTCAAGGGTTAAAAAAAAGAGATAGTAAATTGGAATCCAAATGAGGAGATAACACAGCTACAGAAATATGAGGAGTTAGTTTAGCTAAAATTGTAATAACATTTAAAGTAGTAGAAAACAATTTTAGCATTAGGATAAAAGTGGCAAATTTAGTTTGCTGTGGAGAGAGCTGAGGCAGGGTATAATAGTTATTTCGTTTATCATTAATAAAAACAGATTTACTCCTCTTTATTTACTTTTATCTGTATATACCTTTAATCCATATACAAGAGGAATGGTAGAAATTAAGAAAGAGGGATATAACTAAGGAACCTGATATAACAATGAGAATTGTCCATCATGAGGCATGTGAAAATCAGTTGGTGTTAAAATATCTGTTAATACAATTTGATAGAAGAGAAAGAACTACAAATATTGGAGATATAAAGTTTTTTAATAAGTAAGTTATAAAACATGAATGTTCATTTCTGTTAAGGATAAAATTTTAGCATGACCATTAGTAATTAACTGAGTATACATAACAGCAAAGAGGTAAAATATTACAGCCTGAAAAATGAGGACAATATAATTATTTTAATATATATACATATAATTTTTGGTTATAATAGTAACCACTGTTGTGAAACCATAAGGTGTTTTAACAAAAACTATCCATGACAATGGCACATTTGATATTGAAAGTTGATCCACCATTATTGTTGATAATCCTTCTTAATTTTCTGTAAAGCCTGTTTTAAAGAAGGAGTTAAATAAAAAAAGGAGGCAGTGTCCTGTTTTTTTAACAACTGGAAAAAAAATGAGAGATCAGTTTGACATCAGTTGTAGTTTTTAATTTATGTATTTAAGAAACTATACTTAAGAAGATTAATCCCATTTATGTTAAATTAATTTACTTATTTTAATTGTAACATAAAAACATAAGAAAAACGTGATTAATAGTATTAACCATCCCTGTTTTTTGAAGAAAAATTTTAGAAGTAATGGATATTATGTTTTAGATATTTTTTAGAAATTAAGACTTTATTGTTTAGTTCCCTAGAAAAACCTCATAAGTCAGAGCCTTAAAGACATCTATATATTTAATTATATGACTTGAATTAAATATTTGGATCCATTTAATTATTAAATTTTTATTTATGATTGCTCAGTTGTTTAGAGGAAGAACTGAAAATATTGGAGATATAATTTACGTTTAAATGTCAATTTTGATATCAAGTACATAATATGTAGATATAAGACAAGCCTGTACAATTGGAAATGTCAGGTATAGAACTCTAACAGGTATCATGGACACTGAAATCAAGAGTTTCAGGTTAGCTGGCACTTTTGTCCTTGATACTTATCAGGCCCACTCCCAACACAACCATATTTATATCTTCCTAAGGATTTATTAAAAGAAATTTTTGAATGTATTTGAGACTTAACTCTGGAGAAATTGGCATTTAGATAAAGACAAAATGTAAAAACTTTTTTTTTTTAAAGAGAGAGAATTTTTTTTTAATATTTATTTTTTAGTTTTTGGTGGACACAACATCTTTATTTTTATGTCGTGCTGAGGATTGAACCCAGCGCCCCGCGTATGCCAGGCGAGCTCGCTACCACTTGAGCCACATCCCCAGCCCAGAGTATAAAAACTTTTATAGTTAGATAAAACAAGACGAATCAGAAAAATACATCAACTTATATAGAATACTTAAAAACTTACATCATCGTAATACTAACTTTTTCATCAGATCAGAGTGTATTTTTAGCTCAATAAGAGCCAGTTGGAAGCCTGTGAAATTCTTAAGAAAAAGCTTTTTTTCAAAAAGAAAGTTTGTGCATTTAGAATGTTTCTACTTTTGTCTTCTGTGTTGTAACATTAGGGAGGAACTGGTCAAGAAAGCCAGCTGAACACAGATAAGACAGCCAGTCAAGCAGTTTGAATTTAAAAGAGACACTTTTTTTCTTTCGTCTTAACTGGTTTTTCATAAGCCTCATAAATCTTGTAGGTTCTATAATTTACATTTTAAATATAAGGCTAGGAAAGTTAGAGATCCAGCAGAAGTTAAGAGGTAAGTAAAACTGTTGTTACCATATTTTTTCTTTTATAAGATAATTTTCTTAAAGCATGATGTTGCAGTTTGCATTTTTTGTGGATAGTTAGTTTTTCCGTTTTTAAAATTTTAACTCTTATACATCTTGTAACAGTTTCCACATATGGTTGACTATCAGTAATGATTTGTTGTGGATTAGAAAGGATAGAGCATGGTAGCTAGCCACAGGGAGCTTTTGGACACTTGTTTATTTTTGTTTCCTTTGCCCCAGACCAGGGTGGCCTCTTGAGGCCATGCATAAGGCCATACCATAAAAGTATTTATTACCATGACATTAGTATTTGTGCTCAATAACCCTATAATTGACTGTACATTTAAACAAAGAAATTAATTTAGGTCTACTTAAAATAACTGATAAACATGTTTCAATGACAGTAGAGTCAAACCTTGTATTTTTCCTTTTGTTTAAAGGTTGTAACTCTTTAAATACAGCAAAAGGTAAATGATCATATTTAGGTTGGGTAGCAGAATTTATCTTACAGACAGGTAAGTTAGGAGACTCCCCTGCTCCACAGCTGTCCCAAGCACTCAATTAACTGGGATCTAGCTGGGGGCAGGGTGGCTGCCACAGCCAGCCAAGGAGGCAATGACAGTGAATTAGAGGAGTCATAAGTGTGGGAGGCTCCAGGACAGCTCAGGGCAGAGTGTTGTTGCCAGGGCTGTGCCACTGCTGTGGGGGGAGCGGCCGGGGATTTAAAGGGACCGCATAGCCAGGCACAGAAGGAGAAGAGCAGGCAGGTTGATAGAGGTTTTATCAATTGCATCTCTACAAAGAAACCAAGTTTGAAGCACAGGTATAGAAGTCTGTGGCTTCTTGTGAAGCGTTTCACCTATTTTCTCCCAGTCTCTCAAATTTAGTGTCCCACTTTCTTGATAAAAAGGACAACAAGAACTTATCTCTGTCAGCAAGGCAGTAAGATCAGCAGTATTTAGGGTATGTCCAGCCTTGCTAAGTAGGAGAGAAAGCTCGGCCTGATGACGTTGTTGAGCGTCATATAGAGATAGAGAATTACCCTACTGATTAGGGATCAGTACCAGCCGATGAAATAGATGCAGGTCAAAAGCCTGTTCCAGGCATAAGTAAGCTACTCCCTCCCCCGTTACCTATCAACAGTCCGGAAGGGTCTCTATTAAGGTGATTATATGGTCCCAAACTCTCTGTGGACTGGTAGGCCTTTTGGGGAGAAAACTCTTCTTCTGCCCCAACATTGGGTGCTAGTTATAAAGAAATAATAATAAAGAGGGGAGACCCAGTGTCAAGGTGCAAAGGCAGGAAAGTGGCAGAGTGGCTTCTTGTCCAAGTGATCACGTTTATTTATACCAATAGGTTACATTAGGTCATCAGTACCATAGCTACATTATTGTTTAGAGTATCAGTAAGGTTGATTAGTGCTCAGCATATACATATATTTGATATATATATCCATATACTCCTTTTTTACCCAAGTGAAGCCTAGTGGTAAACTCACATTTCTATGAGAAATCTCTTTTATTTTGCCGTGTGTGTGTGTGTGTGTGTGTGTATGTGTGTTTGACAAGGGAAGAAAAATGTTTTAATTTATTTCATATTTTAAGTTCAGGTTCGTGACTTCATATTTTGTCTCTCTGATTTTATTCCCTTAGTTTTTTTGTTTTTGTTTGTGTGTGTGTGTGTGTGTGTGTGTGTGTGGTAAAAGCACCTGACATGAGATCTACCTTCAGCAGATTTTTAGAGCACAGTATGGTATTGTTCCCGCAGGCACACTGTGCAGCAGATTTCTAGAACTTACAACTGGCAAAAGTAAAATTTTCTTCCCATTGAATAGCAACTCCCATTTCCCACCCCCAGTGAACTGTTCTTTTTTATGACTGCTCAATATTCCATTTTGCTTTCTCATTATTTATTTAGCTAACACTCTGTGGGCCACCACCTCTGGGACCTTGGACTCAAACTACAGCCCCATAGGAGTGCAGGCCATGTCTACCTCTGAGACATCGGCTCTGTCCGCCTCCACTGAGGCCAAATCACATGTCTCCAGGACCACAGCCTCTGCTGAGACCTTGTCAACAGCCAGCGCCTCAGAGTCAGCCTCCCCTGACGCCACCCCTGAGGCCCCACTGCCCACCAGTCTCGGCACAGAGAGAGAAACAGCAGCAGCCCAGACCTCCACCCCCACCCCCAGTGGAACCTTGGTGGCAGGCAGCACCAGCCCCTGGGAGGAAACCTCAGCTCTCTCTGCTGGGATAACACACCACTTGGAGGTCTTGGGACCTCGTACACACTCCACGGCCATTGGGTCAACGGTGGGCACAGTGACTTCCTCTGCTGGGCCCAGAGCCTCCGTCTACAGCTCCTCAGAGGCAGCCACCATCCAGATCTCCACCTCCTCAGAGACTTTTGCCACAGAGGGCACAACCACGGGGTCCTTCCCCACCAGCAGGAGCCCTCTTCCTTCTGTCCATCCCTCTGCAGCCAGTAGCAGCCAAGAGACACACTTCACCTTCAGCAAAGCCACAGCCACACCAGAGTCCCCAATAGCCTCTCCCACCACTGCTCAGACAAGGCATACCACAGAAGTCCCTGCAGGTAAGTGACTTCCCCGTGTGATCTTTAGGATTGGGGGTTGGGGTCTCTGGATGCCTGCATGCTTCAAGAGGTGGGAGGAAGGTTGGGTGAGTGTGGGTCTATGCTGACCTCTCACCAATGTGGCCTCTTCATGGTCTCCTAGTGGTCCTGGCTCTGCCTTAACAAGCTGAGCAAACCTGGCCCAGTCCCTCTCCCTCTCTGAGCCTCAGTTTCCCCACCCGTAGCTATCAGGGATTGCACTGGAGGAGCACTGGGGGCCTTTCCAGCTCCAACCTTCCCTGAAGTGAGTGCTGAGTAACTACGGTGCATGTGGCAAGGTCCCAGCTCTTGTTTAAAAGACCTGGTCCTCAGCCTTTGAGAGCCTCTGGTCCAGCCATAGCCACACAGAGGGGAAGGCTGTGGGGGTCATAGCCAATTATTGCTCTCTGAGTAGCTGGAACCCTGTGAAAGTGGGTCCTGCTGGATGTACTTGCTGGGCTTTCTGCCATAGAGGGTGTCCTGAAATATTAATAAATGAATATGTGATGGTTTGGCAGGTCTCAGAGATATATCTTTTTATTTTGAGAGGGTCTTGCTACGTTGCTTAGGGCCTTGCTATGTTGCTGAGGCTGGCCTAGAACTTGTAATCCTTTTGCTTCAACTCTCATGTTCCTGGGATTACAGGTGTGTGCCCACTGCCAGCTAAGGCAAGAAGATTAGGGCTCAACAAAAGGCAGAACTTTCTTGCAGAGCTGCTAAACCAGGAAGGCTGGATTAGATGACCCCATCCATCCCCTACCAATTTAAAGTTGGAAGAACTGGCAGAAGGCATCTCCCCAGGGAGCCAGCCACTCTCCAGCTCTCTCCCTTTGGGGGCCCTTCCTTCCACCCCACCCAGGACCTCCTGGACTTTAGAACATTCTAATTCAGCTTCCATTTCTTCCTCCTCTCTCTTCCTTTGGCTTCTTCAAGCGTGGGAGGTGCCTTAAGCCACCACGCCTTTCACTCTTGTTGGGAGGACGCAGGAATGGCTGCAATTATCCTAGAGAAGGAATCGTTATTCCTCTTTGCAGCCAGCACACGTAAGATCCCATGTAAATGTAAGACACATTTATACATAAGAGTGCACACGCTTATATGCAGAGGGGGCAGAGGAGGGTTTAGTGGGAGGCACATCCTTATTCCTAAACTGACTACTTCCATCTTCTTTCTCAACTCAAAGGTGGTGATGGAGGCTTCCTCCTAGTGCGGCTGAGTGTAGCCTCCCCAGCAGACCTCACTGGGCCCAGCCAGGCAGAGAGCCTCATGCAGCAGGTGAGTGGATGTTTGCAGAGCCAGGGGAGTAAAATGAGTGGTTCTCAGGGACAGCAGAGTTCTTCAGGATGCAGAAGAGCAACTACTACCCAGAAGGAGGTCTAGTGTCTTGTGGAGTGTTAGGAGCTGAATTGAAGACTCTCTGCCTGGTTTTGCTTCTGCCTTTCTTCTCTGAGTTCATTTCATCTTTTCTGCAATGTAAACAAATTCTTCCCCCCATTTCCAATTTCTTCAGGTCCTAGGAAGTATTGGGTTTCTGGTGATGAGAAGTCCCATGGACAGGGAAACAGGACACTTGGTGGATTATGGAAGAAACCCAAGTCATAGTAGTTTACATAGACAAGGCAAGGTCCAAGAATCCAAGAAACCTATGGTAGCTCCTCTAGCTTCAGTTATGGCTGGATCCAGCAGCTCAAATATGATCGTGAGATTTTTTTTAAGTCTCTCTTACTGTCAGCTTTGCTTCTTTCATTATTCAGTCTTTCTCCCTACATATGGGAAAGTGACTCTGACAGCTCTAGATTCACAAGGAACTTACTTTTCCCAAAATCATCAATAGAAGGGCTGGTCTCATGGGTCTGCAACAGCCCCCATGACTCACAGCCCAATCATTACCACATAGATTGAGAAGGATAGGCCCCGGATGAAATATGGATAGTAGGTAGAAAAAAAAACCCCAACAACAGATACATTCTCTAGAAGAGGAATCAAGATTGGGAGATATTTGTAGAGCAAGTTAGGAAAATTCTCTTAAACCAAGATTGTTGGACAGGGTTTCTGATGCTGAAATTCTGGGATCGGAGTTTTGGGGGACAGTGTGAATCCCTGGAAGTTTGACTGGATCAGCTCAGAGTAGGTTTCACTGGCCTTGAAGAGTGTAGATTTCACCAAGTAGGAGACGGAGTGTGATGTAGTAGGAAGTGTTTGCGTTCTGTCCCGGTATAATCAGTGAAAACAGGTTCAGTGCACAGCCTAAGTGGATTGTTCCTTCAGCAGTGCCCCTGCCCATGCCTCAAGCTTGCAACCCGCACCTGTCACAGTCCATAGGTATCATACAGCTTGTCAGCAGTGCAGGCTTGGTGGCATCCCCTGTAGGGGTAAACCTGGCAGCGGTACGAACTCGGGGGTCCTATGTCAGGTAGAGTTCTATATCCAAGCTGGACAGGTGAGGTGGTTGCCCTTGGCAGGTGGAGACAGGAGACAACCATTTCAAGTAAAAGAAAACCACTTTCTGTCCTAAGCAAAAAGGGGATTTCTTGGTGCATAGAATCAAAGGATTAAAGGATTGCCAGAAGAGCAGGAGGAACATTCTGGCTAGGACCCTGTCTTTTTTTTTTGTACTAGGGATTAAACCCAGAGGTGCTTAACCACCGAAGCATATCCCAAGCCCTTTTTTATAGTTTATTTAGAGACAGGGTCTTGCTGAGCTGCTTAGGGACTCATTAAGTTGCTGAGGCTGGCTTTGAACTTGTGATCCTCCTGCTTCAGCCTCCCAAGCCACTTGGACTACAGGTGTCCACCACCACACCTGGTGGGACCCTGTCATTCTTGCTGACTACTGTCACTCCTGGATACCGCCCTAGTCAATGGACATCATGCTGCCTGCACATTCTATTGAAATGGCTTCTCACTGCCTCTTTATCTTTGGGTCACATGTTCCAGAGTCAAAGTCTTGAGTGGGAACATCCAATAGTGTAAGCTTAGTTCTTGTGTCCACAGATCACTGCCAGGGGAAAAGAGGAGGGGGGAATATCTGTGTCCTTGAGTTCTCTCAGTAGCAGCAAGCTCGTCAGGACTCACCCAGCCAGGAGTTCCCTACACAAGGTTTGATGTGGGGTGGCCAAACAGATGGCAATGCCTTCTGCTCACGAAAATCAAAAAAGTGAGACGGAATCCCAGTCAAAGAGGGAAGCCAGAGTGGAGTGACATGTCTGAGCCTCCAAACTGGGATTCTTTCAGGGGTCAGGAAGAAACTGGGAGATTAGGAGCAGTTCAGGCAGCTGAGATGTAGGAATCAGGCCACATGGGGTTGGGTGTCTGTTCTTGGGGACTGACCAATGGTTTAGGGATCAGGGGTCAGTCAGTGAACTCTGGAGCTCTGGGTGATAGATTTGGGTGTGAATTCTAGTTCCTCACTGTATGACCTTGGGTGAGGTTTTCATTATTACCTTTATCCCTTATAAAACAAGGATAATAATCCCTGCTTTACAGGATTGCTATGAGGTTTCAATGATATAATATAGGCAAAGCACCTAGTTCATGTTTATCATGTGGGAGGATCAGGAAGCATTGTTGGTATTCTCTCCCACTGTCCTTGCCTGTCCTTGGCCTGTGGTGAGCTCCTGGGCTGGATGGGCTGAGTGTACCCTCTGTCTCCTCCTGCTCTCCAGCTCCGGTGTGAACTGCATACCCACCTGCCTCTCGTCCAAGTCTCCTTACTGCGAGTCCGGAGAGGCTAACGAACATGAGCTGAAGCCAGGTATATACCTTCTGCTGAGAAAGAAGCAGTGCTTCCCATGGTCTGAGCCCTCACCAATAGACCGGAGCCACGTTGCTATGCTGACATTACCCAGAAGGTTCCCATGAAGGCCAGCTGGTTCGAGCCCTTTACCCCAGACGTGGCCAAAGGACCCTGGCTCACTTACCACCTGACTCTATGTATGTGGAAAGGAGTGTGTCGCCTGCTCCCAGAGGGGTCCTTTAGTTCCCTAGGCCCATGTATTGTATTTCAGTAAAGAGAGACCTGATCACCCATCCCTGTGCTTCCATCTTGTACTAAAATTACACTCAGTGTGCCCCAGAGGTTATCTATGTGACCTGTATGCACTGACATTTTTATTATATAGGGATTTTATACACCCTACTGTTCCCTCTATTCTTCGTGTTCCCAGTTCTTGGTTTGGACCTTGATTTTGCCCTTACTGAGGCCAGCTCTGGAACTTGTTGAACCTTAAACTTGTAATAGTGAGTTCTCCATTAATATAACAAAATATCTGAGATAATTGGGTCAGACACAAAAGAAATGAAGAAGGGGCTGGGGTACTGCAATCCCCTTCAAGGTCCCAGGGGCCTAAGGACCTCCCACTAGGCCTCATCTCCTATAGGTTCCACCGTCTCCTAATGGAGCCCCCTGGTACCAAGCCTTTAATACATGGGCCTTTGAGAAACACATTCAAACTATAACAAGCTCCTTCAGGAAAAGATAATATTTGTTCTTCTTAGATTCCCTTGAACCTAGCAGAGCACCTGACCTGTATGTCACACAGAATGTCAAGAAAATGTTTGTTGAATAAACTTAAATTTTAAGTTCTGGACTCAAGCAGATTTAAAGGAAAGTCTACAGTATTCAAGTATTCCTCCCATAGCTCATAGCTCACATTATTGTGTTTTAAATTAGACACGGATTACTGTTTTTTTTTTCCTGTTGTAAAGGCAAATCTTACATCAGATTTTAAAATTTTGAAAAATTCAAAAAGAAGAAGTGAAAATAGCCAGATATGGTGGTATACGCCTCCCCCGGCTCAGGAGGCTGAGGCAGGAGGATCTGGAGTTCAAAGCCAGCCTCAGCAATGGTGAGGTACTAAGCACCTCAGTGAGACCCCTGTCTCTAAATAAAAATATAAACTAGGGCTGGGGATGTGGCTCAGTGGTTGAGTGCCTCTGAGGTCAATCCCTAGTCCCCACCCCACACCCCCCAAAAAAAAGAAGTAGCAAAAATAAAAGTGGGAAGAGGAGGGGAAGAGAAAGAAAAAAAATCCCACCTCTTATATACTACTATTATTAATGAATATATTCAATTGCTAACTCACCCTTTCCACGTGGTTGTTAAAGAGATACCTCACGTTCAACATCTCCCAAACTGAAGTTCTGATCTTTTCCCTTACACCTGCTCTGCTGCATCCTCCCCATCTCTGCTGCATCCTCCCCATCTCTGCTAATGTCAATTACATACTTTTATTGGTCAAGCCAAAATTCTCAGAACCATTTTTTGGGGGGGTACTGGGGATTTAACTGGGGATTTAAAGGGAGAGGGCAAAGGGGGTAGGAATGACAGTGGAATGAGTTAGACAGCATTACCCTAAGTACATGTATAAGACACAAATGGTGTGAAAATACTTTGTGTACAACCAGTGACTTGAAAAAGTGTGCTCTATATGTATCATATGAAATGAATTGCATTCTGCCATCATGTATAACAAATTAAAATTAAAAAAAAGAAAAGTACACAAATGGAGAGGATAGACAATTCACAGAAGAAGGAACATAAAAGCCCTGTCATGAAAAAGAAGAGTTGACTACACTAGCTAAAAAGGAGCAAACTAATACCGTGAGATACTGTTTATTGTGTCAAATAGGTAAAGATTTATAAGAATTATAATATCCATACTGATGGGCATTCTTAAACACTCCTACCATGAATGAAATTGGTACAATCTTTTTGGATTTATCTTCTTGACTATTTATCTAAAGGCTTTAAAATGTGGATCCCAAGCCAGGCATGGTGGCACATGCCTATAGTCCCACTTACTCCAGAGGCTGAGGCAGGAGAATGACAAGTTTGAGGCCAGCCTGGGCAACTAAATAAAATCCTGTCTTAAAATAAAATTTAAAAAGCCTGAGATATAGCTCAGTCATAGAGCATTTGATTAGCATGTATGAGACCATGGATGGAATTCCCATTACCACAAGAAAAAAACGTAGATCCCTTTAAACCAGCAATTTCATTCTTAGTTTATCTTCAGAAAAAATACAGAATCCATGAAGAAATGTTGAGGTGTATATTTATTATCATGAAAAGAAAGAAGTTCATGTGATATTATTTTGTCCTCTTATTTTCTTTAAATGGAACCATCTCCCCCGGCCCAAACTACCCTCCACATGGTCTCCATTGCTTTTCTTTCTAAAACTGTTTTGACCACGGTTGCCTGATAAGATACAGACTACCAGTGATGTTAGGTAAACAATAAATAACTTTGTAAAAATATTCAATGGGACATTCTTATACTAAAAACTTATTTATGGTGGTAATTTATCTGAATTTTAATTTTAACTGGGCATCCCATAGTTTTATTTCCTGACAACTATACTTTTAATACCACCTCTCCTAATATTTTCTGTTGCTATAACAAAATGTCTGAAGCAGGGTGCTTAATAAAGAAGATTATTTAATTCACAGTTTCAGAGGTTGAAAACCCAAGATTAGGTGGCCTCATCTTTTGACTTCTGGTGAGGGTCCCCTTGACTGGGTCACAAAACAGGAAAAAAACAGAAAGGTAACCTGCTGCATGCGAGAGCACCAAAGGCATGAGGTATGCTCACTTTACAAAAAAAACCCCTCTCAAAACTGAGAGCTCTTCAAAAAGTTCATCAGTCCCTTCTGAGGGCGATGCCCCCTTGACCTAACTATCTTGCACTAGGCCCTGCCTCTTAAAGGATCTCCCACCTCAACATTGCCACAGAAGACCAGGCCTACAGCACATGCATTTTTGGGGGACAAACCACGTCTAAAGCATTGCAGTGTCTGTTGGGGTGGGGAAAGAAGGTGATAGGAAAAGAGGACCCAAGTCAGGGTTGTGGCAACGTAGGCTTCCCAATATGGAGTAACTGACAACTGAGGTAGGACTGGGCCCAGCCCCCTGCTTCCCTGCCACCTGCTTAATGTTTAACTTCCAATCTGTGTGTCTTCTGGTGGCTGGAGAAGCCTGTGTCCAGCCCTTGCATCACCAGGAAAAAATCAGGAATGGAATCATGGTTTGGAGACACAAGTCAGAGAGATTTTATTTAAATAGACTTTAATCAGAAGTAAACCAGAGAATTTTGGCAAAAGCACTTTTGTTAACTTAGAGCCAGTCACCCCATTAACAACTCACTGCGTGTGTGTGTATGTGAGTGAGTGTGTGTGTGTGTGTGTGTGTATACATTCACAGTGGGCCAGTGTCCTCCTTAAGCCTATGTATGTCTGTGCGAGAGAACCCAACTAGTTACATGCTTTGGTCTTTATGGCTCCTGCCTGGGCACTTGGGTCTCCTAATAAGGTACGGTCTTGACTTCATTCCCATTATTCATTCTTGAAGAACCCCCAATCACCGGCTTTCACCTTTCCCTTTCCAGTCTCCCTGAAGTGAGTATTGAGGATGGGGTGGGTCCTGAGGTATCGTCGGCCACAGCTGCCCATTCGGGGCGAGTTCTCAACTCTCCGAGTCCAGCGGGTAGGAGCTCCTGGTTCTGGAGCTGCGCCAGAAGTGCAGGATCACAAAAGCCACAATCCCCAGCAGCAGGAGGGCTCCCAGGGCCCCAAAAAGGATCCCAAAGAATGCGCCGAGTTTCATACTCAGGTGTTCACAATGCTCGCCCCAGGGCGTGTAGATGGAGAAGGGCACACAGCTGGGGACAGAGAGAGACAGCGCTGTCATGGGTGGGGAGGTCCATCCACAGGGGAGGCTGTTCAGGGCAGCCTGGGCCCACCCACTGGGGACAGGGGCTGTGTCAGCCCTGAGGCCATGCTAAAGCGAGGCCACTGGGCGAAGGAGTTAGGCCTGGACCTTATAAACATGGGTGTAAATTTATCTGGAGTCAGCTCCACCAGGACAGGAGGGACCGGGGCTCACCACAGGTGCGCAGGCGCAGTCACAAACCGCATCCCACCCCACAACCACCCACAGGGCGGGGCTCCTCCCTCAACTCAAACCACCCTCTACTTTGATGGGATCTGGAACTGCAGTGGGCCAGGGGTAGACCCAGGGCCCTAAGGTGACAGAAGCCGAATTTGGGATAGATCTGAAGCCTTACTGCTGTCCTCAAGGCCGCTGCTCAGAGTGTTAATGAACCCAAGCATGCATAAGGCGCTAGATTAAGGGGCTTTCTGAGGATGGGTGCTCTTATGGAAAGGCAGAGTTGGCCCAAGACACAAGAAAAAGGACTCCTTTTTCATGCAAAGTGGACCATCTGAGTATCCATTCTGGAGAAGCACAGTTTGAAGGAGTTTGACTCAGGAAACCATACCCTGCTTCTTAGCATACTGGTTTGTTTCTTCTCACCCCTCACCTGCAATTCTCTCATCTTCAAAATAGTTATGATACCTACTTTGTGGCTGGTTTGAGTTTCAGAGGTAATATAGCATCTTTACTCTCCACACAGAGTAAGGATGCACCACTCTCATTTCCCACTGTAGGGTAGGCCCAAGATGGCTATAGTTAGGCTCCCTGGCCAAGACTTCCAGCAGGCTACGTTTTTAGTAGGTAGCCAAATCATAAATGCCCTGATTCAGCATATGTACTCAAGGTCATAAAAATCTACTTGTGAGCATACGCTCACTTCCCACTGTGCATTCTGTGACCTGCATATAAAAAATCCTATGGAAAGGCTCAGTGACTGCTGCCACCTTTGAATAAAGGACAGCTACTATCCCAACTGTGCCTCACACCTTCTTTTACCTGCTGGGATCTGGAATCTATTTCCCAGGGTCTGAGCCCAGGAAGGACACCCACCATCCCTTTTCCTTTGGTCCCTGTTCTTGCTAATTACAAAGGAAACTTTGCAGTGTCTTGCCCAAATTAGATTCCCCTGCACTGTTTCCACCTCCTGCCCAGAGATCTACAAACCTGCAGCGGGGTCCATTAGGCAGGTGTTGGCACTGGCCTCCATGTTGACAGTAGCCTAAAGTGCATGGGGATACACAAGTGACGCCACTTTGGGGGCTGTAGACAAGGTGATAGTCCTTGTAGCCATTGCATTTGAAGTAATCATCCAGCATGCTCAGGTTCACTGTCAGGTTGGACAAAGATGCACATGGAAAGTAACTGATTAACACTAAATTCATACCTTTCAACCAAGAATTTCATTTTCAAGTATTCTAAGAAATAGTTAAAAGAGTACACAAATACATATCTATGGGTACTCAGATCAGCACAGTTGATAATGTCAACAAAGTTTAAAAGGAGGGGGTCTTGTAAATAAGACTGTATACCCTTACCAAAGGAATGGCAGTCTCTAAGGTATGGAAATGCGCCTGTAAAGAACAAAACTTTGAAGCTGAATTGAAATTCAAACTCTGCTACTAACTAGTTGTCTGATAGGGAAATTTTTCTCAGACTCAGTTTCTCTATTTTTTTTAAATTTCAGATTTCCTATTTTTAAAAGAAAATTATAATAATAGCATTGACCTTGCTGTGAGATTTAAATGAAATGTCATATGCAGAGTACATAGTATAGTGCTTGACATAGAATGAGCACTCAATAAGGCAACAATTATCATACTGTTTAAAATATATCATGATACTACATTTAAATAAAACATAAAATAATATAATATATCTGTTGAGTTGAATACTACCCAATGCCTAGGAAAGCTTGCAGTGAGATAAGAAGGTCTCTAAAAGAATGTGGTAAGGAGGGAAATGGAGAGGGGAGCTGGCCACTCTCCTTATCTTCAGTCCTTGGGAGAGGATCTGAAGAGAGTGACCCTATTTTAAAGGAATGTTCTCATAAAACATCTGAGGAAACACCCCTGCCTGGTGGGCATGCACCGGATCCTGTCTATTCCTCCTGCTTATAGGTGTGTGTGGGGGCTCAATTGCATCCCTGCCTGCTATTGAGGAGGGAGGGAGTGATAAAATGTCCAAAACCTCTCTGTGGAGTCCTCCAAGTTCCTCCTTTGGGATCCATAAACAGTACACTGGGACATTTGCAGCCCTGGGCTTGAACAATATCAAATGGGAGTATGTATACAATTCATGAGATAAGATACTCACCATTACTTAATGAGGAGGCTATCAAATATTAGGTACAATTTGATCCCTTATTTTATTTTATTTAATATTTATTTATTTTTTAGTTGTAGTTGGGCACAATATCTTTATTTTATTTATTTATATGTGGTGCTGAGTATCGAACCCAGGGTCTCGTACGTGCTAGGCGAAGGCTCTACCACTGAGCCACAACCCCAGGCCTTGATCCTTTATTTTAAAAATCAATATGAGAAGGTCCTTAGTCATAAAAGAAAGTTCAGAAAGATGTATACAAAGTATCATCTCTGGGGGTTGGGATTACAGGTTATTTTCTTTCTTTTTTTGGGGGGGTGTTTTTTTTTTTTGTTTTTTTTTTTGGTTTTTACTAAAGTTTCAGCAATAAACATACTGTACTTGTATAATAAAAATTGTGGATTTTCTTTAACAAACATCACAGTCATGGCCAGGGTCATTGCTCCCATTCCTCCACCCATTCCTGCCACCCATTCCTCCCACCCTGATTGCTCAGCGTATCTGAGGGATTTCTCCTTGTTGCCCAGGAAGGGTCTTGAACTGGTTCTAGAAGGAACTCTTGCCTGGCTCTAGACCCAAGTGGAACAGCAGTTTCTATTATGTTGGGAATGGTCATTGTCCTGTAGTCTGCCCCATCCGGAAAAAATAGAATGGGTTATTCCTTGTTCTCGATGATTCCCATTCCAGGAGAACCAGGGGCTGCCCAAACCAAGAAAGGCCTCAGAAATCCCATGTCATTTTCCAGACAGAGGTGTTAAAGCTGGGCTTGGGGAAGGTGCTCACACAGGGCCACACCCTTTCAGTAGTTGGGTATCTCTGCCCCTGGCCAGTCTTCAGGTTCCAACTTAAGATCCTCCAGATAGAGCGCAAAGGTGAAGGCAATGTCCTTATGTATGTTTGTTGGTTTTTTTTTTTTTTTTTTTTTTTTGTACTGGGAATTGAATCAAGGGGAGCTCTACCTCTGAGCTTTTTTTTTTTTTTTTTTTTTTTTTACTTTTAGACAGATCTAACTTTTTTTTCAGTCCTTTTTTTTTTTTTTTTTTTTTTTACTTTTAGACAGATCTAACTTAGGTTGCTGAGGCTGGCTTTGAACTTGTGATCCTCTTGCCTCAGCCTCCTGAGTCGCTGGGATCACAGGTGTGGGTCACTGTGCCTGGTCCCTTGTGCATATTTAAGCACAATGGGCATTTTAAGAAAATAACAAACAATTTTTCTAAAGAAAAGAAAACCATTAGCAGCAATAGTCAGGAAGGCCTGGATCAGCTGGGGACGTAGCTCAGTGGTAGAGTGCTTGCCTAGCATGCCCAAGGCCCTGGGTTCAATCCCTTGTTCCCTGGGCCCAGAGTAGAGCAGGGGGCATATTTGGAAGGCCAGGGTTGGCAAACTGCAGTGTGAAACTACCCATGTTGGGGCATTAGCAGTATTTTGTGCCCCTGCTTGGAATCTCAGCTTTTGAGAGAGAAATTTTTCTCAAACATTACAAACAACAAAACTAAATTAACTTGCTTCTTCCTTGTCTGGGGACCACCATGAGTTTGTGTAGCCTGAAGATCTGAAACAGGTTCCCTCTATTCCCTGCCTCACCCTCTCCCAATTGTTCCCAAGATAGAGTGACTCACGAGCCATCACATCCCGCACATCTTCCCAGGAGATGGGGTGGAAGACAACATCTATGCGGGGCTCCTGACTCTTCCAACTCTCTGAGGTTACTGGGAAGAGGAAGGCCTCCACCACGGCCTCCCGCAGCTGCTCATTCAGGAAGTGTATGACGGGGCCCCGAGGACGGTACTGGAACTCCGAGGTGACCAACCAATGCTGAATGGATTTTCCTGAGGCTGATGCTGGGAGAGAGCTATGTGGGAGGGGGTCAGTGAGGACTTCAGGGGTGGGGGGATGAGACATGTGGGGGCCAAGCAGGGACAGTCTCACTTACGTTTGTTTTACGTGACTGTTCCAGAGAAAGGCCCGCACGTCCAGGGTCCCTAGTCGGTATGCCACCTGCGATGGAGGATGGGCAACGGGAGGGCAGGGTGGTGGTGAAGCCCAGACTAGAGAGGAGACCCCTCCCACTGCAATGCATTTCTTTATCCCTGACTGGTTTCACCTTTGAAAGTGAACCCAGGATCCCCAGATTGTTTCCCACCCATCTCTGCATCCCCACACTCCAGCCAAGTCTAGAGATGAGTTATTGGTAAGTGAAGGGCTTTCCATTCTTTCCCCCTCCACCTCACATTTACAAGAGGGGACTCTGAAATGAATGACCCCAGCTTGCCTCTGGTCCCTGACTCACCAAACCATAGCTTCCCGTCATGTATACTGAACATCAGTTGCTTAGCCACACCGAGGGATGGACAGGTGCTGGGATCTCAAGGTAACTTAGGAATGAGACTGCACTCAAAGAGCCCATGTCACGTGCAGTAGATAAGCGTCTATGGATTTTGGCATTTCAGGGTGGGGTGCTCTGATAGTAGGGGTAGTAATAGTGATTGCATATTTGTTTGGTACCGGAGACTGAACCCAGGGGTGCTTAATCACTAAGCCACATCCCCAGTTCTTTTGATTTTTTATTTTGAGAAAGGGACTTACTAAGTTGCTTGGGCCTCGCTAAATTGTTGAGACTGGCTTTGAACTTGTGGTCCTTCTGCCTCAGCCTCCTGAGCTGCTAGGATTACAGGCATGCACCACCACTCCAGGGAGTAATAATAATTTTTTGAATGCTTGTCGTGTTTCAGGCACTGTGCTAAGCGCCTTATGTACATTATTGTTTAAACCTAGACACAACCTATTGACATAGGTACTATTATTATCCCTACTTATACAGATGAGCAACTAAAAAGCTTGTCTAATTATTATACCTGCTCTAGTAAGTGGTAGGGCAGGGATCTGAAGCCCATGTCTGGTATTCCAGAGCCTCAGCCACTCAACAACTGGCTGCTTTGCCTGCAGTTGAGGTGTGGACAAGGACATGGGGCCAAGGGGCAGGACCCCCAGTTCCCCCTGGAAAGTCAGAGTAGAAGTGAAGTGACCACTTGTGCTTCTTCCACATAACACCAAAGAAGTACAGGACTTGAGAGACACTCGAAGGGAGAGGCTGAGGTGACTTGGCACCCTAGGTTCTGCTCATGGCGATGGGTGAGTCTCACCCCTTCTGGGGTCTCTAACCTGAGGCTTCCTGGTTCCCTACCCCAACCACGGACCTCCCCTGGGCAAGAGGCTCCAGCCTCCTCTGGCCAGTGGATCTAGGAAAGGGACACATAAACGATGGCCCAGCCCCAGCCCCAGCCCCAGCCCAGCACACAGCACTGACCGAGGCATTGACATCTGTGATGGAGGCGTTTTGTTCTTCAGTGAGAAAGAGCCGGATGATTCTGAGGGGAAGCTCTGGAGGTGAAAGAAGCCAGAGTCATCACCATCTCTATCCAGACTTGTCTGAGAAGTCCATTGGGCCAGCCCACGGGGACCATTTCATTCCCCAGTGAGAGTCACTGGCCACTTCCTGCTCTCACCCCGGTTCTCCCTCTAGGCTGGCAGGGCTTCTGCGGAGCCTGCCTCACTGAGCCGGGAGGCCTCTGTTTCAGCCTCCCCTCAACAGGTCCATGGTTAGGGCTTTGGCAGCTGCCCTCATGACCCCCACAGCCTACAGCTTACCATGTGAGAAAACAGTTCAGAGTTCTATTCTGTGAGTTTGAGGAACTTAGCCCTGGACCCTAGTTTCCCCACCTTCCCCAAAGATGAGAAGAGTGTGGAGGCCGAGCCGGCAGGTGCATCTGGTCCTACCTCTATAGACGGTTGGAGTGAAATTGTTCCCAGCCACTAAGCAGCGGTCGTCAGTGAAGGCTGGGGGACAGGTGCAAGTGGGCTTGCAGCCCAGTGTCTGGGAGACGTAGCAGTGGCCGTGGTTGTAGCAGTAATTTACAGGACAGGAATGGTTCCAACAGGCAAAAGTGTCCTCCACAGCTGCAGAGGGAGCAGGGAGGTCAGCAACACCACACTGGGGCAGCTGGGGGGGGAGGGGAGGGACAGCCTTGAGAAACTGTTTTAGGGGCATCTCAGTTTCTTCCCCCTCTGCCCCTTCAATCTGTGCTCTGCTGGTGGACCATGCTGAACTTTGAACTATCCTCCCCTTTCCCAGGCTTTCTTGCAAGGTGACCCTTTTCCTCTACCAGGTAGGTATTCTTTCACTTCTGCTGAAGTAGTAGTGTGTTTGTCAGAGCCTCTAGATCCGGGAAGAACCGGAAAGGCTACTGGGAGAAGAGCCCCTCGCCCTGCACTTTCACCTCCTTTTAGCTGTGGTTCTGCCCATTCTGGCTTCTGCTCAGAAGACACCATGTTCTGCTGACTTTCTTTGGTCACCTTCAGGGGCTTGAGGGGCAACCTCCTTGTGATCTCCTTCATGGTGACTACAGAGGCCCAGGTGAAGGAACAGATGAGTGGCAGAGGATTCAAAGGAAAAATGCCCTGACTTGTGAAGACCCCCGAGGAGTCCTCAGGCCCCAGCTTGTCTCTGATTCTTTGGATTTCAAACAATTTGAGTCTTTTGCCCTGGGTTTTCTCCATCAGTGTCTCAGAGCTGCTCTGCCCTGGCCCCTCCCCTCTGCTTGGACAACCTCTTCTCCCTCAGTGCCATGCCAGCCACTGCCTCCTATCCAAGCCATCCTTACCCTGGCTTCCCGTGGTGAGCACTCTAAAGACTAACTAGAAAAGGAAGACCAATGGTTTGCCTTTGGCTGCCCTTGAGATGTCACCTGGCCCCAGAACCTCCTCCCGCCAGGGCCCTGTTCCCAGCTCACCTGCACAGTGATGTCCGTCCCCGGTCATGTGTGGAGGGCAGGCCCCACAGCCCACTCCAGGATGGCACTGCACACCCGGGAAGCACTGCTCGTCACATGGATCCCTGGAGCGTTCACAGTACTGGCCGAAGGTCTCCCCATTACACTTGCAGCTGGCCACCTGAAACAGGGTGCCGATCACTGGTTGGCCAAAAGGCTGAGCCACTGAGGGCTTCTGGGTGTCTCTATACCACCGACCTCTCTGGTATGGGAACCCATGGACCCGAGTCCTTAGAATCTACTAAACAAAGTTTTTTTTTTTTCATTATTGGTTCTTTTTAGTTATACATGACAATAGGATTCATTTTGACATAGTTATAAATGCATAGCATATAATTTGTTCTATTTCAGTCCCCAGTACTTCCCCTCCTCCTCCCCTCCTTCCTCCCCCGTTCCGTTCCCTCTGCTCTCCTGATCTTTCTGCTGTTTGCTTGTGGATTACATGATGGTGAGATTCACTGTGGTATATTCACAGATGTACCTAGGACAGTTAGGTCTGAGTCACTTCACTGTCTTTCCCTATCCCATCTCTCTCCCTTCCCTTCCTTCCCCTTCTTCTCCCTTCCCCTACTGATCTTTCTTCTATTATTTTACTTTTAATCTCCCCCACTTATCTTGGGTTAGCTTCTGCATATCAGAGAAAACATTTGACTTTTTGGGACTGGCTTATTTCACTTAGCACGATAGTCTCTAATTCCATCCATTTACTAGCAAATGCCTTTATGTCTGAGTAATATAATATTCCATTATATATATATATATATATATATATATATATATATCACATTTTATTTTTCCATTCACCTGTTGAAGGGAACCTAGGTGGACTCCAAGCTTGGCTATTGTAAATTCTGCTGTTATAAACACCTTCTTGACCAGGCTGGGCCTGTAAATCCTGCCTAAAACCACATGACCCTCCTGTCCACTCAGCCTTCCTGGGCTGCTCTTTACCCTAATCCCCCTGCCTGGCCATTGAGCAGGATCTCAGACTCAGCATTCTCACACCATATCTTCTTCCCTGGAATCCTTACTGGAGTGAGACAGGGAAGGAGGAGAGGGAGAAAAGAATACATCAGCTGGACAAGACTCGTGGGTGAGTATCTTGGCTGGAAACATTGATGAAGAAGAGTATCTCTGAGCTAAAAAAGAGACTCCCTTAAACTGGAGAGGGAGAGAGTAAAGAAGAAAACAAAGGAGCTTGGGGGTGTTCAGACAGAGGGGCTTTCACCTCTCTTCCAATGCCACAATGATAAGGTCCCAGAGAGAAAGGTCTGGGTGCTGCTCTAGGCAGAAGGCCCATAAGCAAGCATCTCAGGCAGGTTTCCTGGGCATGAGCACAGCACAGCAGCAGTGTCGTGTGTCCTGGGGCCACAGGACGGGCTGAAGGACCTATGCTGGAGCCTGAGTGCATCTGCCCAGGGAGAACAGCACCTTCCCACCCACACCTCAGCGACCCATGCTGGGGAAATGTAAGAAAGGTCTACGCAGAAGATCCCTACCAGCCTGGAAGAATGGAGCCACAGGCAAGGAAGTTCTCTGTCTTCACCCGAGTGTGTGGCCTGAGAGGGCACCTGCTGTACTCAGCCACCACGGCTCCTCCCACGTCCCCAACAAGCACCTTCCCCAGGAGGGGCTGAATCATCACCACGCTTCAATTCCCACTTTCTTTCCTCTCAACACAGAAACCTTCTTCCTCCCGATTCCCCACACTCACCTCCATGGAGGAATTGCCCACCCATCTGGTCTGATTGTATATACACTGGCTCTCTGCACTGCAAAAGCAGACCACAGTCTTGGGCTGGAGTACAGATGACAAGTTAACATTGGCTTTTCTTGCTAGAATCTCCAGAGTGAATGGCTCCAGCACCTTTGGTGTCCACAGCAGAGTACCATTCTCTGTCCAGGGAAGACGAAGTGGGTAAGGGCTAGGAGACTCCTCTGCTCTGTGGTCTGAGGTGACCTGCCAACTAATACCCTGATTGCTGGCTCTGGGCTCCGCCCCATCCACTTCAGACCTCCCCCCCAAAAGAACACACCAGAATCCACTTACTGATGGTAGGTGGAACTCCACAAAGGGGAAGACCCTGTCCCCTGAAGAGAACCGTGCCTGGGCCTGTACCAGGATGTCCTGGGCAATGGAGGATGAAGACCAGGATCCTCCCAACACTTCCCCAGGCTACACTGCAGGCCACCCTGGCTTCATGTCAGAGCACCCCCTCTGAGGCAGTCAGAGCTCAGAATAAGGTCTCTGCAAGCTTTGATTTAGCAAATAATGGTCACCAGCACAGTGACTGCAGGCAACAGAAGGAAAGCTACGTCCCTGTGCTTTGATCCTTTGACCCAGATCATAGATGCAAGCCTGGGGGTCTCTAACACTTTTTCCAGAGGGCAGGACCAGCTCTGCTTGGTCCCAGCACAGAAAACCAGACAAGAAGGGACAGAGCCAGGAAAATGTGGTTAACCAAGGCAAAAATAGTAGAAAGGTACCAAGAGGAAGTGTTTGTGTTTCTTTAAATCTTGTCCCACCTTCTATCCTTCTTTTAATAGATATAAAAATGTCGTAAAGTAGTAGTTTTAATTGCTGTACTTGATCATTCTAATAATTTGATGAATGCATAATGACGATTAAAGATCACTGCATAAAATGAAAAACTAAAAAGTAACAATAAAAAAAGAATTGCATATTATTAGATGAAGATTAACTGGTCTTTGAATCAATTGTCTATGCCCAGAGCTAGCCCAGCCATCTGGTCAAATCTTCATAAGCCTGACACTGCTATTTGCTGGGGAGAGAGAGGTGCCTGTTTGAATTGTAGGTGTCCTTCCTAAGAAATGCTGGTCCTGGAGAGTCAAATAAAAAATGTTGCAGGGTAAAGAGATGTAAAATGACCCAGCTTGACTTTGAGCTCATCCTCTGACCACCTCCACCCCCAGATTCTTACCAAAGAGATTCATGTCAGGATTGTGGTCTCTGAGGGTGAAAGTGACATCCTGAGAGTTGCTTGTACATTGAATTATCTTGGTCTGCCCCCTGTAGGCTTCGATCTCCTGGCAACCATCTATAAAGGGCGGGTACTCATCTAGAACAGAGAGGGGACAGGATGTGAGACAGGATCTGGTGGACAGAGGGGGAGCTTTCTCTCCACTTTTCCCCCTCTGACCTGTGTGAGACAGACCCAGCCCACTGCCCCACCTCTGGAGGCAGGAGTTAGTCTTGTCCCTGCCCTCAGACCTAGGCAGAGCACATTGGCCATGTCCTTGTCCACCTGCCCAAATCTTTAGACTCTCTTTCTCTGCCTCCCCTTGAACAGGGCTCATCTCTAGCCCTTTCCTGTTCAGATCATCAATTTTAACATCGAGAAAGCCCTGAAAACCATGAGGTTGATGTCTACCTGGACACTGCATTAGCCTAGAAATAGAGGCAATTGGACCTTTTCAATGGTCTCTTTCTTGGAGTCCTGCTATTTTCATTCCATTGTTCATTCATTCATTCATTCATTCAGTCAGTCAGTCAACAAATATTTATTGAACACCTAATATGTATGTAAATGGTGCTACTCTAGGATATAGCAAGAAGCAAGTTGTGAAAAAAAGATACCTGTGGACATCACAAAATACAAGTAATTATAAATACAAAGGGGAAAAATAAGGAGGTCAGGTGACTAGGAAGTGTGGTGAGCGTGAAACTTTAGATAGGGTGGCCAAGAAGAGCTCACTGAGGAAGGGACTCAGAAGGAGCAGAGGGGCAGCTGGTAGCTGTCTGGGGAAACAGGCCTTCCAGGGAAGTCTGAGTGGAGAGGGAGCCCTATATGTTTAAAGAACCCAAAGGAGCCCCTAGGTCAGGAGTGGAGAAAGCAAGGCAGGGAGTGTTGGAAAGAGAAGGCCATGGGAGCAGACTGAATAGAGCCATAGAGGCCACAGTGATGGCAGTGTCCTCGTCCTCAGAGGAGTAACACCAGAAAAATGACCCATTGAAGGAAGCGCCATAGGAGGGGGGCTCCTTACATGCCCGCCCCTTCCCTGGGCCCCCTGCCACTTACTGATGGAGGTGTTCATCTGCTGGTAGCTTCTAAAGAGCATCTTGGTGTGCAGCCCGGTGTCTGTGTTGTTTGTGGCCAGGGAGTCGTAGATGCATTGCCTCTCTCCATTACACTCCGAGATCAAAAGTTTATTCAAGGACTTGTTAATGAGTTGGTCATAAAAGACAGGGGTGAAATTGGAAGGCAGATGGTCAATCCTTTTGCCAAGGAGGCCTGATCCATTGACCTTCCCTATGACACAGGAGGAGCAACAGTGGTAGTACCAGGGGTGGGGCTCCAGCCATATTTCAGCTGCACCCACTTCTTATCCTCACCATATAATGTTCAGGCAGGGGAGGGGGCAGGGAAGGAGGCATGGATTTGGCTTCTGTTTTTCTTCTCCTTTTAGGTGTTGGGGATTGAAACTAGGGCTTCATGCATGCTAGACAGGCACTCTGCTACTGAGCTACACCCCAGCAACAGCATCCAGCTTCTGAGCCTGGAAGTTTCGATCATTACTTCGGGCCACCCCTTCCCCTGTCCTGTCTTCCCAGTTGAGACATATAGGTAGAATTGGAGGGTGCATTTCTAGGGTGTCTGCAGAATCCTCAGACCCTTACCAAGGATGGAGGTCTGGCCCCCACAGCCCTGAGGGAGACAACATACAGAGACTTGGTCTCCCCTGTCTGCCCTGAGGATCTGAGGCCCCACTTACAGGTCATTCCATAGTGAAAAAGAGTCTCCTCAGAGCTGTTTCTGGGAACAGCTGAGCCATTGGGCATCATGAAGTCGTCTTCTGGATTGTCGTTCCATACCCCTGAGGGACAGAGTAGGAGGTTGGCCACCAAAGGAATGTGGCTCTTCCCTTCCCTGGGGAGCATCCAACAGGTCAGTTACAATGGATCTCAGTTTGGGCCCCAGAAGGAAAGAAGGGGACCATGACCTCATACCCCACCCCTCTTCTTCGGGGGGGGGAGGAGGAAATGAAGAAAATGGAGGAAGGCAGGTGGCAAGGTTGGGGGGAATGTGGAAGGCAAAGAGAAAAGAAGGACAGATGTGGGAGACAGGAAGGTGGCAGGGCGGCCATGTTCCCTAGGGTGGCAGGAGAAGGACCAGGCTCCATCTGGGGTCTCAGCTCCTGCTTCTTACCCAGGAGCCCCTCTGTGTGGTTTCGATACTCCTCTGGGAGGCTAGAGGAGGCATGGAGGATGTTGGAGAGAGCGATGACTGAAATGGCCACCGTCCCATCAAAGCTGGCTGAAACCTGGGAGCCATTGCGGGTCAGTAGGACTCCAGTGGTGTTGAATATCTCTGGGCCTAGAAGATAGGGAGGCAAGTGAAGAGACAGCCAGTACCAGCACCCTGGAGGCCACAGGACTTGGCAGCAGTGAGGGCTCAAGACCCAGAGGAGACTCTAAAAGCAGGTCTGGGATGTTCTGAGAGTGTCTCATCTAGAGGCCCCACCCAAGCACTCAGGCCACCCTCAAGGCCCACTGCATCTCCTTCTTCCTTGAGCCTGGAGATGGGGGCTACCGAAGGAGTAGACTCACAGCACTGGAAGGAAGGAGGGAAGCAAAGAGAGAAAATGTAATGCCAAAGGGACTACAGGGGTGGTGACCACTCTGCTCTGCCCAGTGCTACCATCTCTATTCCCCAGCACACTGCTCCCAGGGTGCTGAGCACCTTGCTGACCTCTACCCTGGGACTCAGGAAAGGGTGACTGACAGCCCTCCCTAGCCTACCTTCTGGGTCTTCACGGTTGGTCTCAAATGTCACATTCTGGTTATTGTGCAGAACATGGATTGTGTCTTCCCGCTCAAGGAGCCACTGAACCTGGAAAGTAATTGGAGGAAACTTCATTTCCATTGGAGTAGGTGGAGCCAAGGTCCAGATAGGAGGCTCTAGAGAGCAACTCGGCTAGGACCTAGTCTCTGGAAGGAGAGGAAGGCGATAAGGAGGGTGGCAATGAGGTTCTGCCAGCTGACGTGTACAGAAAGGTTGGCATGGCACATTTCTTGGATTATCTTATTTAAATTTCACAACATCCACACTTTACCACAAGAAAAAAGCAACACAGGAAGCTCAGTGGTTTTTCAAAATGAAACAACTGGTAAGAGGTGGAGGCGGGACCCTAATCCTGCCATTTAGAGGTTTTACTCTGAGGGCTCCACTGGCAGGATGTGTCCCCCCCTCTTTCTGTCCATTCCCATTCTTTATTCTCTTCCTCCTTCTGGGCCTTGGTATCAGCTGAAGGTCCCTGAGGGGCTCTCAGGTGGTGGAGTGGGGGGTGGTGCAGGGATCCTCTGGGCATCCTCCACTCACTGTGATGGGGCCCAGGCCGCTGGAATTATATTGAGCAGCAAAGGCGATGAAGTTGGTGGCCCTGGCTGAGCCTGTCTGGGCAGTGCGGCCCTGCAGCAGGAAGGAGGAGTTTCCATCCCTGGATCGGACCAGCAGGAAGTCCCCCAGCCCATTGAAGGTATAATTGGCACCATCCAAGGTGGTGATGTGGGGGTCTCCAAACATCCAGGCTGGAAACAAGGAGATAACACATTACTAACAAACCAGGGCTGAGATTCCCCCTGCCCACCAGGCAGGGCATCTGCCAAGTGGACTCAACCCTGGGCAGATGCTCAGGGGGTATAGAACCTGCCCCCAAGGCCTCTTGTACTTGTGTTCCCCGACCCAATCCACATCCCTTTCCTAACTCTATATTCAAAGCCCCTCTATTTGCTGTCAGCCCCACATAGGAATTGTCCCCATCTTTCCTTGTGACCCCAGGTCTGCCCCAGGAATCTGGTCCTCTCCCAGGCCTGGCTCCACATCCCAGAGGCCAAGGGGATGCTCTGCGGGGGCCCCAGTCCTCACCGGGCCGCGGGGGTGTGTATCTAGCACAGCTGACGCGGGGCCGCCTTTGCTGGTACAGGATGCAGAAGGAGGGCTTGTCGTTCCAGCGGCAGCACCAGTTCTGTGTCTCCAGTTCCTTGTCTGTGGAGGAGATGGGTGTGTTGGGGGTCAGAGGGGAGGCCTTGGAGAACAGCTGCAAGATGGCATCAGTGGCAAGAGCATGGCTTTGGAATCAGGCACAGAGCAGTTCCCATCCCACTCTCATGGTGATGGATCAGATTCTGTCTCCCTTGCAGGTGTGGAGTCCCAAGGTTCCCAAAGAGCCAGAGTGGGGAGGACGTGGGGAGAATGGAGACTATGATGGTACAGATGGAAGCTGGGTGAACACAGATCATCCTGCACCCTCTCCCCCAGACCTCCATGTTTTCTAGCTCCCTTGGAGGGTCTCTGCAGGGAAAAAATTCTATCTTCCACCAAATGGCCTGCCGATGTGGGCTCAGGGACTGGTTCAGGCTAAGTACTCTCCCCCTGCCTGGAAATATGTCCAGGCAGGGGGCCATGGGGCCAAGTGGAAATGAGGCAAGAGGCCCTTAGTCATAAATCTCTAGAATGCTAACGGACAGGGATGGTGGAAACTTCCTAACTTCACAAGATCAGAGAATTGAAGGCCAAGGGGAAAAGAGCTGGGAAGGAATGGGGACAAGAGGCTTCATATGAGGGTCGGAAAGAGCGGTGGGCACCAGAGCGGGTGGGAGCGAGATCTCCGAGGATGCACATACCAATCTCCCAAGGACTCTGCACATGAAAGCCTTCTTGAAACTCTCCCCAGGGCCCATAGCTGCAGCACACGCCACCACGCCAGGAGGAGAAGCTGCACAAGTGTCTTCCGCGGAAGCCCCACCATCCTGCAACGAGGCCGGGAGTCCTCAGGCCCAGGCTTGGGTGCCTGAAGTGGGGCAGGGATGATAAGGAGATGTCTCTGGGGAAGGGGCTGAGAGTGTATTAGAAAGGGGAGTGACAGTATGAACAGAGGAGATGGTAGGTGGGCTTGTGGGGATCAGGAAGAAGGTGTCACCTATGTTGACCTGCTGGAACCGTAAGTCCCATCGCCCCTGCTGCCAGGAACAAGGGCAAGAGATCTGGTTCCAGTTCCATCTGGGCCACTGAGGCTGGCTCTTTAACCACCAGAGGCACTTGAGACGGTAGTTGGGCCTTTCTTCCCCGTGCAGCCTGTAGACCTGCAGCCCCCGGAGGCCTAGAGAGGCAAGAGAAGAGGGATTAGCCCGGGACCTGGGGCCACAGGCTCTGTTTCAGCGAATGCACCCCCATGTCTCTCACTGCCTCTCTGTGCAGGTCTTCCTGGGATGGAGTCCTTTTCAGATTGGCAGTGATTCCTTCCCTCAAACCCTTTGGACATGAGCTCCAAAGCCCTCAAACTTTGGCTTTCAGGGCAAAACTCTGTGCAAGTGCTGGGCGGGCAGGCCTTGCCTTGATCCAACTCGGAGCCAAACCCTGGTTTTACTCACCCACCTCCCATCCCTTCCTCTAAGCTCTAACACCTTCCAATCCCTCCAGATCAGTTCTGCTTCATGCACACTGCATTGTGGTCAGGGACACCACCCTCCACTCAGTCATGCCAGGAGACACTGTCCTTCATGCCTCACCCTTGCTCTCCACCAGCAAAGACCCTCCAGTGGCCAAAGCAGCCAGGACAGAAGCTGGTGCCCAAAGGCCATCTGGGAGCCACCGAGAAGCTGGCATGTGAAGCAGAGACTTGCTGCAACACCCTGCAGCTGAGGAGTCTTCCTCTGCATCCAGGGAACAACTGTTTTTTCTTTTTTATTAATACATATTAATTTTTACAAAGCAATGGTTTTCCCTGGGACAGTTCTGTACATTATTCACCCTCCCTTCTGGCCTCTTTCACCTTCCCCACACTCCCTGGTCCTCTTTCCAGTCCCTAAGAGTCCCTCTTCTACCTTCAGGTCATTTTAAATATATTTCTTGATTTGTTTCAGTTTCCACAAATGAGGTACATGTGGAACATGTGATACTTGTATTTTTGTGTCTCGCTAATTCCCCTTAACCTGATGTCTTCTAGTTCTATCCATTTTCATTCTTCTTTATGGCTGTACTCTACTGTGTATATACTATGTTTTCTTTACCTCTTTATCTGTTGACAGGTGCCTAGGCTAATTCCACATCATGGCCATTGTCAATAAATATCCGTACTATTTTCCATAGTGGCTATACAACTTACATTCACATCAATAGTGTACAAGGGTTCCTTTTTCTCAACATCTTCCCCAGCATTTGGGGTGAAAAAAGAATTTCAGTATAGTTGTGTTTGTTTTGCGGTGCTAGGGATAGAACTCAGGTGTGTGCTGGGCAAATACTCTAAACTAAACCCAGCCTTCAATGAAGTTTTGACTTGCATTTCCCTGATGGCTAAAGACATTGAGCATTTCTTTTTCATATTTCTTATTGTCCATTTGTACTTCTTCTTTTGAGAAGTATCTATTCAGATCATTTGCCCATTTTTTGACTGAATTACTTTGTTGTTGTTAAGGTTTTTTGAGCTTTCTGTATATATTGTGGCTATTAATCCTCTGTCAGACAAATAGTTGGCAAAGATTTTCTCCCATTCTGTAGGCTGATTCTTCACTCTGTTGATTGTTTCCTATGCTGTGCAGAGCTTCTTAATTTGATATAATCCCATTTGTTAATTCTTGTTTTTGTTACCAGACTTATTGGATTCCTAGCCAGAAAATCATTTCCTGTGCCACTATTTTGAAGTGTTTCCCCTGTGTTTTATTATAGTAGTTTCAAAGTTTTAGGTCTTACATTAAGGTCTTTGATCCATTTTGAGTTGATTTTTGTACAAGTTGAGCTAGAGATCTAATTTTAGTCTTCTGCATGTGAACCTCCAATTGTTCCAGGAGCATTTGTTGAAGGGACTGTCTCATCTCCAGGGCATGTCTTTGGCACCTTTGTGGAATCAGTTGACTGAAGAGGTGTGAATTGATTTCTGGGCCCTCATTTCTGTTCCATTGGTGCTAGTGTCTATTTTTTGTGTCAATACCATGCTGAATTCATTACCATGGCTTTGTAGTATGTTTTAAAATCAGGTGTTGTGATGCCTCCAGTATGATGCTTTTTGTTTAGGAAGGCTTTTGCTATTCTGGGTCTCTTGTGCTGCCGTATAATTTTTTTTCTATTTCCGTGAAGAATGTCATTGGTATTTTAATGGAGATTGCATTAAATCTGCATTTTTGGGTAGTAGGGTTGTGTGTTTGTGTGTGTGTGTGTGTGTGTGTGTGTGTGTCTATAGTGAGTGGGATTACTTTTCTGATTTCTTTCCCAGCAAATTCATTTTATAGGTTTAGAGAAAAGCTACTGGTTTTTATGTATTGATTTTCCCTCCAGTTACTATATTGAATTTTTTAGTTCTAAAAGTCTTTTGGTGGAGTTTTTGGAATTTTCTATGTATAAAATTATATCATCAGCAAACATTGATAATTTGACTTTCTCCTTTCCAATTTATATGCCCCTCCCTCCCTCCCTCTCTTCCTCCCTTCCTTTATCTTGCCTAATTGCTTTGGTTATACTTTCTAGCACTGTAGTAAATAAGAGTGATGAGAGTGGTCACCTCTATTTCACTCCTGATCTTAGGGGAAATGCTCTCAGTTTTTCCCCATTCAATAGGATATTGGCAATGTATTTGCCGTATATAGTCCTTATTATATTGAGGTATGATCTTTATGTACCTAATTTATTCAGGGCTTTTATGATAAAGTGATATTGAATTTTATCAAAATCTTTTTCTGTATCTATTGAGATGGTCATAAAACTTTTGTCGGGGCTGGGATTGTGGCTCAGTGGTAGTCTTCTGCATGTAAACCTCTAGTTGTTTAAAAATATTTAAAAAATAAATATTTTTTAAAAACTTTTGTCATTGATTCTGTTTTTGTGCTGTATTACATTTTTTATATTACATTTATTGATTTGTGTATGTTGAACCATCCTTGCATCCTTGGAATTAAATCAACTTGATCACAGAGTATGATCTTTATAATGTACCTTGTATTAAATTTGCAAGTATTTAATTGATGACTTTTGCACCTATGTTCATCATGAATACTGGCCTATAGTTTTCTTTTTTTGTTATTGTGTCCTTACCAGGTTTTGTTAGTAGGAGAATACTGGATTCATAGAATGAATTTGAAAGTGTATTCCCCTTTCCATTTTATAGAATAGTTTCAGAAGCATTGTTTTTCTTTAAAAGTCTGGTAAAATTCAGTAGTGAATCCATCCACTACTGGGTTTTTCTTTGTTAGTAGACTCTCTTTTTTTACTGTTTCAATCTGCTCACTTGTTATTTTATATTTAGGTTTTTTTTAATGCCCTTTGGCTCAACTGGGTATGTCATATGTGTCTAGAAATTTGTCCATTTCTTCTAGATTTTCCAATTTATCCACATATAGTTTTTTTTTTCAAAAAAAAAAGGATCCTTTGGATTTCAGTGGTGTCTTGTAATGTCTCCTTTGTCACCTCTAGTTTTATTTATTTGTGTCTTCTTTCTCTTTCTTATGGTAGCTAAATGTTCGTCAATTTTATTTCTTTTCAAAGAGCCAACTTGTTTCATTGATCCTTTGTATTATTCTTTTAGTCTCTATTTCATTTATTTTCACTTGATCTTGACTTCTTTCATTCTACTGATCTTTGGTTTGCTTTGCTCTTGGTTTTGTGAAACCTTGAGATGAACTGGTAGGTTATTCATTTGAATAACTACTTACATGGCTGACCTTCAATGCTAAAACACCCTTTACTCTATCACATTCTGGAAACTATAATTTCTTTCTCTTTGGGGCCTCTGCACATTGCATTGAGTCATGGAGGAAGCAACATGGTTTGCCTCCGGATACTGAAGTATTTTTACCAGAGTGAAAGCTGTTTGATAGCAAACATAGTTGATCTTTTAACTTTTATTCAGCACACGGAGGTGCTAAATAAATGTTGACTGAACTTCAGATCTCTGGAACTCCTTTTGGTAGATTCTCTTAAGGGATCTTATCTGGGCTTTCATTTCAGCTCTGAGACAGGACATTTGGAGTATGGTTCTAACTGTCCACTTATATCCCCACCTCCCATTTTCCTTACTTCTAGGATCTGGGCCCCCACTGACAGACCTCCTGGATTTGGCATATCTGATTTGGCTCATGTGAGACAGAGCTCCATAGACCACACAGTATCTAAGGGTATGGAAGGCACTAGTTGCTCCTTGGGCTCTCCCAGATCCAGAGTGTACTTGTAGGCTGTCAGACTATGCAGGGAAAGGCTTTCAGGATGATGGAGAAGTTAGGGACCCACTTTATAAGACTGCCATGACATCCAGAGTGAAGGACAAGAGAAGACTGAGTCCACCTAAAGTATGATAAGGTGGTGTTTTTACCTAATTTGGAATTCAAGAATCGGTCCGGACGATACTTCTCCCACAATGGCCGGGACATCAGTGGGCTGTTTTCAAAATACCCATCTCCACTGCAGGCAAAAGAAAGACTCTTAGTCCTCTGTCACTCATAGGTTCTTCCCTGTCCTTTGAAAGACATGAATTCAGTTAGTCTGCCAGCACTCAGTTCAGTTGGTCAGCAGTCAGCAGCTGGTAGCCTATTACTCAGTTGGTCAGTTGGGCAGCCAACTTAAATCCCTGAGTTCCAGTACTAAGGAGAAGGGAGGAGATGATAGGCAAGGTTGGAAAGGTTCTGTTTATTCCACATCTGATTTCTGACTGCAAGAAACCAGTAGGTCCACTTGGTCATGAGGTAGAAATGTGAAAATAACAAGAGTTCAGGCTTCCTTATCATTTGTTTCCCCTAAACTAGGGATGGAGAGGGACAGACGCCAGGGGCCAACATATTGCATTGGTTCAGAGCTGGACTCTGAGTCAGACAATCCTGGAGTCAACTGATGATCCCAACTCTTCCTAGCTTAATGACCATGGATAAAAGGGATCACAGTAATATCTACCTCACAGCATTGTGAGTATTCAATGCAGTAACATCTGCACATGGCCTCAGAACTGAGTGAGGACCCTATACGATGGCACCACCACCTCCAGCACTGACATCACATCCTCAGTGTAGGTCCAGACGGGAGGAAAGCCAGGAGCCTCACTACCCCCGTAGCCTGTAGCCTCACTCTGGGCGTATGACACAGAGCAGTGACTCCTGATCTTTGCTCTTCTGTGACACAGGCAAATGACACACGCATGACATTTAGATGTTTTCAGGGTGGTGTGAGATTCCTTGCCAGGTGGGTAATTCCACTCCTTTCTCCTTTATAGCACATCAAGAATCAAGTGAAGCCGAGCACTGTGGCACATGCCTGTAATCTCAGCAGCCTGGGAGGCTGAGGCAGAAGGATAGTGAGTTCAAAGCCTGCCTCAGCAACTTAGTGAGGCCCTAAGTAATTTAGCAAGACCCTGTCTCTAAATAAAATAGAGAAAGGGCTGGAGATGTGTCTCAGTGGTTAAGTGCCCCCTGGGTTCAATCAGCAATACCAAAAAAAAAAAAAAATCAGAGAAAGAAAAACAATCAAGTGAAATAAATGCAATTATAGGGCAACCTGAATACACTGTAATGTAAGAGAAATCCATATGCAGCAATGGCCAGTAATAAATGGCATGTAACCTTCACTACTGAGTATGCCACACACCAGCATATGGTTGGGATCCATTATGTCAGAGGCTGGGTCACGTCCACACACAGGTACCCACATTGCACCCATCCATAGACCCCTCCCTTCCCTCCTCTACGTCCGGTGCCATCTAAGCTGCCAGGTGCCCCTAGGTAGGTAGATAATTCTCAGGAAGCCAGGAAAGCAGATTCCAGCCCCAGATGTTTCAGTTCAAATCAGACTTTGAGATAATTGCTTATCTGTTTGTATCTCAGTTTCCTTATCTGCAGAATGAGCATAACAAATAGTTCTACCTCATGGATGGTTGTGATAATCACTAAAATAATGTCTACAAAGTTTTTAACATAGTAAGGTTTTAACATGGCTGTTATTATGGTATCTGAGGAGTGAAGAGAAATCAAACATGTCAATGGAAACTAGGGAATGCAAAGTTAAAAAATAGTGCAATGCCCAGGGACTAGGGTAGGAAAGATTGCAGGATGAATTGGGGCATTTTTCATTGGAAACAGCAATGAAGGAGGCACTGTGGGAAGTGAAGTGAGTGTGAATCACACGCATCAGTAAGGAGGAGCCATGCCTTGTGCAGGGGTGGAGTGTGCTGCTCAGTACAGAAGCCTTGCCTCCATGTCTTACCTGGAGAAGCCCATGAGGACCCCGTTGCCCCAGCGCTGGGTTAGGTCCCACCGCATCCCATTACTCTGGTAGAGAAACAGGGCATAGGATCTGCTCCCATCTGTGGAGAGGATGGCTTGGTAGGTGTTGGTCTGGAGGTTGGTAGGAGACAAAAATAAGGATGCGAGACATTGGGTCTAGTAGTAGTTCTCATGTGACCCCTTGAGTTTTCTCAAGAAGGTTGTAATAAAAAGAGTGAATCTGGCTCCACGCATGCTCTCTAGTCCTGGTTTGAGATGTAATTATTTGCTGGATCCTACATATGCTCCTGCATTGCTATCCTTGCCATGAGGTGATGCAGCCAACAGAGGCCCTCAATGAACCTGCACTACAGTTTGGACTTTCATCCTCCAGAACTGCAGGTTAAATAAACCTCTTTTCTTCATAAGTATCCTGTTTCAGGTATTTTATCATGGTAATACAAAACTGACTAATATATAAATCATATGAAATTGCCAATGGTCAGACATATTTGATCAAAAAAATGCCATTTCCTGTTTCTGATTTCCAGGCTATTGTGAAGTCGTATAAGAAAGGGCTGAGGCAGGCCTGGCACACGGTGTGTGCTCAGCAATTAGTTCTGGCAAGAATTGCTATAATCAACAAGCTTTCCTACTTTCCTTGAGTCAGAGAGGGTTCTAGAAGAGTAGCCCCTCCCTGGGATTCTAGGATGGCTGACCCCCACATGTCTCACAGGGAGCCATTTTTGGTTCACTCACTCCAAAGGTCCACTGGGCAGGATAGGCAGGGGCATCGACCCATGTGACCTTGAGGGTCCACTTGGCTTTATAGCTCCAGGTGTTTGTGAACTTTTCAATCCAAGTCTCCACCTGCTGAACTGTCGGGTTGTATTCATCATAGAGTGTCTCATATTCCTAGAAAAGGAAGGCAGGTAAGAACAAGAAAATGAGGGTTCCATTCAAGACCCCTGAGGGACCCCAACTTTCTGCTTAAGAATCATACTCATTTTAATGCTCCCATACTGCCCCTGCTTTCCTGTTCTAGGCCTGTGTTTTTACAATGAGTTTTTTAGACCTTAATATCAATTTAAATTTGGACTGCAGGAAAACATGGAATGGGATGGAGGAGTCCCCACCCAAAAATCTAAGTCCTTTGGACTTGAACTCATGCATCTCTTACCTCAAACCAGCTCAGATGGAATAACCATGTGTGCCCATTTTTACCTCCCCATGTCTGACTGGAAGCTCCTTGAGGACAGGCATGGTCTCTCCATCTTTGGAGCCTCTGCAGTGCATTATGGCAAGGGCACAAAACACATTTGCTGCAGTAGCCTTCATCATATGCTCCACTGTCTGGAATTATTAACCCAATCTAGGAACACAGGAGAGGCCCTGTTTGACCCAGACTTGTTAGAATAGACTCTCTGCAGCTCTGTATTTTGTTTGTTTGATTTTTGAGACACTGGGGATTAAACCCAGGGCCTTGAACATACTAGCCAAGCACTCTACCACTGACCTACATGCCCACCTAGAGCTCTATTTTAAAATCAGTTGCTGACCTGCCAATCCCTATTCCTGTTGCCTACAAGACTTCACATGTTTAGATTAGGTATTTTTGAGTCTGTTTAATATTCCTTATTGGCTTAGCCTCCCTATCCCATATTAAGTCTCAATCCCTATCCACGTGAGCCCAGGCAATGACAGAAGTGACACTTCCAGGATCCTGATTCTCAGGCTTTGAAAAACCCACCTGGTAAAATATGGTTCCCCTGCCGCCAGAAAAGTCAGCATCATCCCAGAATGGAGCCACCATGGCCACAGGTTCCCTTCCTGTGAAGCCTCCTAGAGGTGGATTGGGGTAGGAGAACTTCTGGTAATCTGACTTGGGGAAAATGATCTGGCCATTGTCTGTGAACTGAGAACCGGAGTTTTTGGTCAGCATTCAGGGAGAAAATGAGGAGCCAACCTAGCTTCGGGCCAGCTCCTCAGAAGCATGGCCCCCAACGGCCTCTCTGGGCAGATCAGACATGTCAACCACCCCTGGAAGCTCACCTCTCCACTTTCTGTCTTCTGGGAGAGCTCTTTACATAATAACCTCACAAATACTTGCCAACCTCAGGACAGTCTTCATATCTGAGGGTGATAGGCTGTGTCCTGTCTCGGTGTAGACCCCAGGCTTTTGCCCAGCTCCATCCTGAAGCCTGTGAACCCTCAGATGAGGCCAAAGAAATTGACACCCTCACTTTCACCTTTGTTTCTTCCTCATCTTGTATCCTAAGGGCCCTCCCTGAGGGCGACAGGGGCCAATTCTGTGTACAAAATCTTCCTTGGGAGACACGGGCCAGAGAGAACCAGGAAGTAATTATAGAAGAGGGAAGAGGCCCGTAAACTGCTCAAGTTTGCCAAGTACAACTTCCTACTCATAAAAAAGTCCCATGAAAACAGGGGTGAGCTGACTGGGCCCTCTTCTCTTTTTACTGGGGTAAGGACATTTGGTCCACATGGGGAGTGTAAGGATTCTGGCTGTGGAAATGTACAAGGCAGCGTTCCTCTGGTGAGCAAACTCTTGGAGGGTAACAGGCGCCCTGTTATCCACACTTGGAATATTCTACAGTTTCTCCCTGGAACTAGTAAGATGACTGATACATGCCCAATGCCCAGCTGCTATGGTAATGTCCTTCACAAGGAGGCTCTGTGTTAGAGTCTTATCAGCCTCAACCTTAATCTCAGACACTCAGCTTCTGGGAATAAAGGAACTTTCTTAGACAACACCAACGTGTCACTGGGCCTAAACCTGCCCACAAAACTGTAACTTTATACAATGAGCAATAAGTACTAATGATGTCAATGACCTAATGTAACCTATGGATATAAATAAAGCTGGCAGCTCAGAGAAGCAGCCCTTTTGACTTTGCCCCTGCACCTTGCTTGCTTCTGTCTCTTTTTGTTCTTCTTTACAGGGGAGGGAGGTTTGCCTCACTCCTCTTTTCCTCAGCTAGAGCTCTGACATTAAAGAAGGCTGTAAATGTCAAAATGATGCCTAGAAAAGATGGCTTCCATCCTCCCTTCCTTTTGGTCACAGGGTCATCTCCAACGCTGAACAGAGAAGCAGGGCCCAGAAAGTACAGGTCTTGCCTCTTGGGCTGTAGTCAGAGACTCACGTAGAGAGAATCCCGCAGAGAGAAGCCAAGTGGGAAGCCAATCTGGAGCTTGAAGAGCTGCGAGGTGAAGTCCACAGTCCTGATAGACAACTGCAGGTCTCCAGAGCTGGACCCATAAGGGAAGAGGGGAACACCTGGCCAGGACAGAGAAGAGTACAAGTCCTTGTGGACCTTGACCTCCTTTCAGGCTCAAAGTGATCCCTAGGGAGCTTTCCCCAAGCTGTTCCTCACCCTTGTCCTCTGTTCCTCAAGGTGTTCCAGCAGGTCCTGACTGGGAGCCATCAAGGACTCTTCTCTCCACGTATTTAACACATCTCCTCATTTGCTCTTACTGTTATGGTTTGGATATGAGGGGTCCCCCAGAAGCTTATGTGTGAGACAATGCAAGAAGGCTTAGCGGAGAAAAGATTGGGTTGTGAGACCTTAACCCAGTCAGTGAATTAATGCCCTGATGGGATTAGCTGAGTGGTAGCTGAAGGCGGGAAGGGTGTGGCTGGAGGACGTGGCTCATTGGGTTGTGCTTTAGGGTCTATATTTGTATTTGGCAATTGGAGTTTCTCTCACTCTCCTTTCTGATCATCATGTGAGCTGCTTCCCTATGCCACACAAGAAGAGGCACCTTCTTCTTCCATGATGTTCAGTCTCATCTTGAACCCAGAGGAAAGCCAGCTGTCTATGGACTGAGACCTCTGAAACTGTCAACTTTCAAATAAACTTTTCCTCCCCTAAAATAGCTCTGGTCAGATCTTTTAGTCACAGCAGCGAAAAGGCTTACTAAAACACCATCCCCCAGTCTGGAGAAAAACCAGTCCTGCTGTCAGAACACGGACAAACCATTCTACAGCTGTTTTAGGAGTCCTAATTCTTTTAAGAATTAAAATATTAAACTCTGATGCAGTAAAGATTAGTAATTGAAAGGACTTTTCATAGAATGGGACTTGTTTCCTAAGATAGTATTTCTCCAAATAAACTTGAAGATTTCCTAGAATTTGTTCTAGGACCTAAAGATCCCTGGACTCCAGTTTGAGAGACTTTGTCCTAAATGTTTTTCAAATGGATCTTGCTTCCATATTGAGAGCTGCTGACTCCTTGGCGCCCTCTATTGATCTAGCTTGGGTACTGCAGTGGCCTGACCACCTCCCTTGGCCTCTTCACTAACCCCTCCTGCGAGTGTGTCCACACCAGCCGCCACAGTGCCATTCATACAAGGCAAGTCTGTGTCCTCCTGGTTTCCCTTACCTACGGGATTCTTGCACACACCAGCTTTCTCATATTCTTCACCTTACTTCTGGCAACCCCAAATGCTTTGAGGATCTCCTCTCCAGGTGACACTGGGATGCTTTTTTTCACTTCCATGCATTTGTTCCATTGCTCAGATCCTTCTCCCTGCCTGGAGTGTCCAGCTTGCACTTCTATTCACTCTTGCCTGAAAGCCTCTTGTCCATCTCGAACCCATTCCCACAAACTTTGGGGGCTTTCCATTTTGTGCTCCTAGTTTCCTGGGCTGGCATCTGTAAGAGAGTTGATCTGTCCCCTAATGAATGGCACATGATCATTGCCCTATCTCCAGCTCCTGGCCCAGTGCCATGCACAAAGCTACCTGTAGAACCCAATTCTACTTCTAAATGTCTCCTGTAAGGATCGTTCTGACTAAGAGAGTGGAAAATGAGCAAGCTATGGTGAGACTGATCACTAAGTTAGACCACCCCTCTAAGGGAATATGCAGACAGACTGTATTTCTATGGCTCATTTGGGGCAGTGAGGTACCCAGAGAACTGGTTCCCTCAACTACACACCAAGGCCTTCATTGGCAAATTCAGTCCAGCTACCACCACTGCACCCTTCACATCTAGTTCAGTTGAAGGGGGAGAGCTACCACCTCCACAGCATCACTCACCTTGCCCAACCAGGACAGGGCGTGGGGAAGTTGTTGGGCGGGAACTTGTGGATGTGGAGAGAGCAGAGGTTGTAAGAGTCAGAGAGGTTTTAAAAGGTGGAGGTATTGCTCTGCTGGTAGCTGCCCCCTGAGGGGATGTCACTGCAGAAAGGGTCACTGGCAGAGTGTTTCCACTCAGGGAGGTTAATAGGGTTGATGTGGTCCCCTCTGGGAAGGGGCTGGGTGGAGGAGAAGAAGTTGTTTCCTGGGTGGAGGAGCTGGGTATTGGAACAGTTGATGGTTCTGGTCGTCTTGTCCTGGAATCCCCTGAGGTGGCTGTTACATGTCTTGAAGTTCCAGGCTGTGATGTGGTCCCTGTGTTTTCTGCAGTGGAGTCTGTGGATGCTATCATGGTGGACACCTCTGTTGTCACTGTGGGTATGTTGCTGACACTGGAAGAGGACAGGCTGGTGGATTCACCAGGAGGGGATGTCTCTGCAGAAAGAGTCACTGGCAGAGTGTTTCCATTCAGGGAGGTTGAAAGTTTTGATGTGGTCCCCTCTGGGGAGGGGCTGGGTGGAGGAGATGAAGTTGTTTCCTGGGTGGAGGAGCTGGATGTTGGAAGAGTTGATGGTTCTGGTCCTGTTGTCCCAGAAACCCCTGAGGTGGCTGTTGGAAGACTTGCAGTTACAGGCTGTGATGTGGTCCCTGTGTTTTCTGCAGTGGAGTCTATGGATGCTGTTGTGGTGGACACCTCTGTTGTCACTGTGGGTGTGTTGCTGACACTGGAAGTGGACAAGCTGGTGAGCTCACCAGGAGGGGATGTCTCTGCAGAAAGAGTCACTGGCAGAGTGTTTCCATTCAGGGAAGTTGAAAGTTTTGATGTGGTCCCCTCTGGGGAGGGGCTGGGTGGAGGAGATGAAGTTGTTCCCTGGGTGGAGGAGCTCGGTGTAGGAACAGTTGATGGTTCTGGTCCTGCTGTCCCAGAAACCCCTGAAGTGGCTGTTACATGACTTGCAGTTCCAGGCTGTGATGTGGTCCCTGTGTTTTCTGCAGTGGAGTCTATGGATGCTGTTGTGGTGGACACCTCTGTTGTCACTGTGGGTATGTTGCTGACACTGGAAGAGGACAGGCTGGTGGATTCACCAGGAGGGGATGTCTCTGCACAAAGAGTCACTGGCAGAGTGTTTCCATTCAGGGAGGTTGAAAGTTTTGATATGGTCCCCTCTGGGGAGGGGCTGGGTGGAGGAGATGCAGATGTTTCCTGGGTGGAGGAGCTGGGTGTTGGAACAGTTGATGGTTCTGGTCCTGTTGTCCCGGAAACGCCTGAGGTGGCTGTTGGAAGACTTGCAGTTCCAGGCTGTGATGTGGTCCCTGTGTTTTCTGCAGTGGAGTCTATGGATGTTGTTGTGGTGGACACCTCTGTTGTCACTGTGGGTGTCTTGCTGACACTGGAAGTGGACAAGCTGGTGAGCTCACCAGGAGGGGATGTCTCTGAAGAAAGAGTCACTGGCAGAGTGTTTCCATTCAGGGAGGTGGAAAGTTTTGATGTGGTCCCCTCTGGGGAGGGGCTGGGTGGAGGAGATGAAGTTGTTTCCTGGGTGGAGGGGCTGGGTGTTGGAACAGTTGATGGTTCTGGTCCTGTTGTCCCAGAAACCCCTGAAGTGGCTGTTACATGACTTGCAGTTCCAGTCTGTGATGTGGCTCCTGTGTTTTCGGCAGTGGAGTCTGTGGATGCTGTCATGGTGGGCACCTCTGTTGTCACTGTGGGTGTGTTGGTGACACTGGCATAGGACAAGCTGGTGGACTCACCAAGAACGGAAGTCTCTGCAGAAAGGGTCACTGGCAGAGTGTTTCCACTCAGGGAGGTTGAAAGGGTTGATGTGGTCCCCTCTGGGGAGGGGCTGGGTGGAGGAGATGAAGTTGTTTCCTGGGTGGAGGAGCTGGGTGTTGGAACAGTTGATGGTTCTGGTCCTGTTGTCCTGGAAACCCCTGAGATGGCTGTTACATGACTTGCAGTTCCAGGCTGTGATGTGGTCCCTGTGTTTTCTGCAGTGGAGTCTGTGGATGCTATCGTGGTGGACACCTCTGTTGTCACTGTGGGTATGTTGCTGACACTGGAAGAGGACAGGCTGGTGGATTCATCAGGAGGGGATGTCTCCGTAGAAAGGGTCACTGGCAGAGAGTTTCCCTTCAGGGAGGTTGATAGGGTTGATGTGGTCCCCTCTGGGGAGGGGCTGGGTGGAGGAGATGAAGTTGTTTCCTGGGTGGAGGAGCTGGGTGTTGGAACAGTTGATGGTTCTGGTCCTGTTGTCCCGGAAACCCCTGAGGTGGCTGTTGGAAGACTTGCAGTTCCAGGCTGTGATGTGGTCCCTGTGTTTTCTGCAGTGGAGTCTATGGATGCTGTTGTGGTGGACACCTCTGTTGTCACTGTGGGTGTGTTGCTGACACTGGAAGTGGACAAGCTGGTGAGCTCACCAGGAGGGGATGTCTCTGCAGAAAGAGTCACTGGCAGAATGTTTCCATTCAGGAAGGTTGAAAGGGTTGATGTGGTCCCCTCTGGGGAGGGGCTGGGTGGAGGAGATGAAGTTGTTTCCTGGGTGGAGGAGCTGGATATTGGAACAGTTGATGGTTCTGGTCCTGTTGTCCCAGAAACCCCTGAAGTGGCTGTTACATGACTTGCAGTTCCAGTCTGTGATGTGGCTCCTGTGTTTTCGGCAGTGGAGTCTGTGGATGCTGTCATGGTGGGCACCTCTGTTGTCACTGTGGGTGTGTTGGTGACACTGGCATAGGACAAGCTGGTGGACTCACCAGGAAGGGATGTCTCTGCAGAAAGGGTCACTGGCAGAGTGTTTCCATTCAGGGAGGTTGATAGGGTTGATGTGGTCCCCTCTGGGGAGGGGCTGGGAAGAGGAGATGCAGATGTTTCCTGGGTGGAGGAGCTGGATGTTGGAACAGTTGATGGTTCTGGTCCTGTTGTCCCGGAAACCCCTGAGGTGGCTGTTACATGACTTGCAGTTCCAGACTGTGATGTGGTCCCTGTGTTTTCGGCAGTGGAGTCTATGGATGCTGTTGTGGTGGACACCTCTGTTGTCACTGTGGGTATGTTGCTGACACTGGAAGTGGACAAGCTGGTGAGCTCACCATGAGGGGATCTCTCTGCAGAAAGGGTCACTGGCAGAGTGTTTCCACTCAGGGAGGTTGAAAGGGTTGATGTGGTCCCCTCTGGGGAGGGGCTGGGTGGAGGAGATGAAGTTGTTTCCTGGGTGGAGGAGCTGGGTGTTGGAACAGTTGATGGTTCTGGTCCTGTTGTCCCGGAAACCCCTGAGGTGGCTGTTACATGACTTGCAGTTCCAGACTGTGATGTGGTCCCTGTGTTTTCTGCAGTGGAGTCTGTGGATGCTATCGTGGTGGACACCTCTGTTGTCACTGTGGGTATGTTGCTGACACTGGAAGAGGACAGGCTGGTGGATTCATCAGGAGGGGATGTCTCCGTAGAAAGGGTCACTTGCAGAGAGTTTCCCTTCAGGGAGGTTGATAGGGTTGATGTGGTCCCCTCTGGGGAGGGGCTGGGTGGAGGAGATGAAGTTCTTTCCTGGGTGGAGGAGCTGGGTGTTGGAAGAGTTGATGGTTCTGGTCCTGTTGTCCCAGAAACCCCTGAAGTGGCTGTTACATGACTTACAGTTCCAGTCTGTGATGTGGCTCCTGTGTTTTCTGCAGTGGAGTCTATGGATGCTGTTGTGGTGGACACCTCTGTTGTCACTGTGGGTGTGTTGCTGACACTGGAAGTGGACAAGCTGGTGAGCTCACCAGGAGGGGATGTCTCTGCAGAAAGAGTCATTGGCAGAGTGTTTCCATTCAGGGAGGTTGACAGGGTTGATATGGTCCCCTCTGGGGAGGGGCTGGGAGGAGGAGATGCAGATGTTTCCTGGGTGGAGGAGCTGGATGTTGGAACAGTTGATGGTTCTGGTCCTGTTGTCCCAGAAACCCCTGAAGTGGCTGTTACATGACTTGCAGTTCCAGTCTGTGATGTGGCTCCTGTGTTTTCGGCAGTGGAGTCTGTGGATGCTGTCATGGTGGGCACCTCTGTTGTCACTGTGGGTGTGTTGGTGACACTGGCATAGGACAAGCTGGTGGACTCACCAGGAAGGGAAGTCTCTGCAGAAAGGGTCACTGGCAGAGTGTTTCCACTCAGGGAGGTTGAAAGGGTTGATGTGGTCCCCTCTGGGGAGGGGCTGGGTGGAGGAGATGAAGTTGTTTCCTGGGTGGAGGAGCTGGGTGTTGGAACAGTTGATGGTTCTGGTCCTGTTGTCCCGGAAACCCCTGAGGTGGCTGTTGGAAGACTTGCAGTTCCAGGCTGTGATGTGGTCCCTGTGTTTTCTGCAGTGGAGTCTGTGGATGCTATCGTGGTGGACACCTCTGTTGTCACTGTGGGTATGTTGCTGACACTGGAAGAGGACAGGCTGGTAGATTCATCAGGAGGGGATGTCTCCGTAGAAAGGGTCACTGGCAGAGAGTTTCCCTTCAGGGAGGTTGATAGGGTTGATGTGTTCCCCTCTGGGGAGGGGCTGGGAGGAGGAGATGAAGTTGTTTCCTGGGTGGAGGAGCTGGGTGTTGGAACAGTTGATGGTTCTGGTCCTGTTGTCCCGGAAACCCCTGAGGTGGCTGTTGGAAGACTTGCAGTTCCAGGCTGTGATGTGGTCCCTGTGTTTTCTGCAGTGGAGTCTATGGATGCTGTTGTGGTGGACACCTCTGTTGTCACTGTGGGTGTGTTGCTGACACTGGAAGTGGACAAGCTGGTGAGCTCACCAGGAGGGGATGTCTCTGCAGAAAGAGTCACTGGCAGAGTGTTTCCATTCAGGGAGGTTGAAAGTTTTGATGTGGTCCCCTCTGGGGAGGGGCTGGGTGGAGGAGATGAAGTTGTTTCCTGGGTGGAGGAGCTGGATGTTGGAACAGTTGATGCTTCTGGTCCTGTTGTCCCAGAAACCCCTGAAGTGGCTGTTACATGACTTACAGTTCCAGTCTGTGATGTGGCTCCTGTGTTTTCTGCAGTGGAGTCTGTGGATGCTGTCATGGTGGGCACCTCTGTTGTCACTGTGGGTGTGTTGATGACACTGGCATAGGACAAGCTGGTGGACTCACCAGGAAGGGATGTCTCTGCAGAAAGGGTCACTGGCAGAGTGTTTCCATTCAGGGAGGTTGATAGGGTTGATGTGGTCCCCTCTGGGGAGGGGCTGGGAAGAGGAGATGCAGATGTTTCCTGGGTGGAGGAGCTGGGTGTTGGAACAGTTGATGGTTCTGGTCCTGTTGTCCCGGAAACCCCTGAGGTGGCTGTTGGAAGACTTGCAGTTCCAGGCTGTGATGTGGTCCCTGTGTTTTCTGCAGTGGAGTCTGTGGATGCTATCGTGGTGGACACCTCTGTTGTCACTGTGGGTATGTTGCTGACACTGGAAGAGGACAGGCTGGTAGATTCATCAGGAGGGGATGTCTCCGTAGAAAGGGTCACTTGCAGAGAGTTTCCCTTCAGGGAGGTTGATAGGGTTGATGTGGTCCCCTCTGGGGAGGGGCTGGGAGGAGGAGATGAAGTTGTTTCCTGGGTGGAGGAGCTGGGTGTTGGAACAGTTGATGGTTCTGGTCCTGTTGTCCCGGAAACCCCTGAGGTGGCTGTTGGAAGACTTGCAGTTCCAGGCTGTGATGTGGTCCCTGTGTTTTCTGCAGTGGAGTCTATGGATGCTGTTGTGGTGGACACCTCTGTTGTCACTGTGGGTGTGTTGCTGACACTGGAAGTGGACAAGCTGGTGAGCTCACCAGGAGGGGATGTCTCTGCAGAAAGAGTCACTGGCAGAGTGTTTCCATTCAGGGAGGTTGAAAGTTTTGATGTGGTCCCCTCTGGGGAGGGGCTGGGTGGAGGAGATGAAGTTGTTTCCTGGGTGGAGGAGCTGGATGTTGGAACAGTTGATGCTTCTGGTCCTGTTGTCCCAGAAACCCCTGAAGTGGCTGTTACATGACTTACAGTTCCAGTCTGTGATGTGGCTCCTGTGTTTTCTGCAGTGGAGTCTGTGGATGCTGTCATGGTGGGCACCTCTGTTGTCACTGTGGGTGTGTTGATGACACTGGCATAGGACAAGCTGGTGGACTCACCAGGAAGGGATGTCTCTGCAGAAAGGGTCACTGGCAGAGTGTTTCCATTCAGGGAGGTTGATAGGGTTGATGTGGTCCCCTCTGGGGAGGGGCTGGGAAGAGGAGATGCAGATGTTTCCTGGGTGGAGGAGCTGGGTGTTGGAACAGTTGATGGTTCTGGTCCTGTTGTCCCGGAAACCCCTGAGGTGGCTGTTGGAAGACTTGCAGTTCCAGGCTGTGATGTGGTCCCTGTGTTTTCTGCAGTGGAGTCTATGGATGCTGTTGTGGTGGACACCTCTGTTGTCACTGTGGGTGTGTTGCTGACACTGGAAGTGGACAAGCTGGTGAGCTCACCAGGAGGGGATGTCTCTGCAGAAAGAGTCACTGGCAGAATGTTTCCATTCAGGGAGGTTGAAAGTTTTGATGTGGTCCCCTCTGGGGAGGGGCTGGGTGGAAGAGATGAAGTTGTTTCCTGGGTGGAGGAGCTGGGTGTTGGAACAGTTGATGGTTCTGGTCCTGTTGTCCCAGAAACCCCTGAAGTGGCTGTTACATGACTTACAGTTCCCGTCTGTGATGTGGCTCCTGTGTTTTCTGCAGTGGAGTCTGTGGATGCTGTCATGATGGGCACCTCTGTTGTCACTGTGGGTGTGTTGTTGACACTGGCATAGGACAAGCTGGTGGACTCACCAGGAAGGGATGTCTCTGCAGAAAGGGTCACTGGCAGAGTGTTTCCATTCAGGGAGGTTGATAGGGTTGATGTGGTCCCCTCTGGGGAGGGGCTGGGAGGAGGAGATGCAGATGTTTCCTGGGTGGAGGAGCTGGGTGTTGGAACAGTTGATGGTTCTGGTCCTGTTGTCCCGGAAACCCCTGAGGTGGCTGTTGGAGGACTTGCAGTTCCAGGCTGTGATGTGGTCCCTGTGTTTTCTGCAATGGAGTCTATGGATGCTGTTGTGATGGACACCTCTGTTGTCACTGTGGGTGTGTTGCTGACACTGGAAGTGGACAAGCTGGTGAGCTCACCATGAGGGGATGTCTCTGCAGAAAGAGTCACTGGCAGAATGTTTCCATTCAGGGAGGTTGAAAGTTTTGATGTGGTCCCCTCTGGGGAGGGGCTGGGTGGAGGAGATGAAGTTGTTTCCTGGGTGGAGGAGCTGGGTGTTGGAACAGTTGATGGTTCTGGTCCTGTTGTCCCAGAAACCCCTGAAGTGGCTGTTACATGCCTTACAGTTCCAGTCTGTGATGTGGCTCCTGTGTTTTCTGCAGTGGAGTCTGTGGATGCTGTCTTGGTGGGCACCTCTGTTGTCACTGTGGGTGTGTTGGTGACACTGGCATAGGACAAGCTGGTGGACTCACCAGGAAGGGATGTCTCTGCAGATAGGGTCACTGGCAGAGTGTTTCCACTCAGGGAGGTTGAAAGTTTTGATGTGGTCCCCTCTGGGGAGGGGCTGGGTGGAGGAGATGAAGTTGTTTCCTGGGTGGAGGAGCTGGGTGGAGGAACAGTTGATGGTTCTGATCCTGTTGTCCCGGAAACCCCTGAGGTGGCTGTTGGAAGACTTTCAGTTCCAGGCTGTGATGTTGTCCCTGTGTTTTCTGCCGTAGAATCTGTGGATGCTGTTGTGGTGGGCACCTCTCTTGTCACTGTGGGTGTGTTGCTGACACTGGAAGAGGACAAGCTGGTGGCTTCCCCCTGAGGGGATGTCTCTGCAGAAAGGGTCACTGGCTGAGTCTTTCCACTCATGGAGGTTGATAAGGTTGATGTGGTCCCCTCTGGGGAGAGGCTGGTTGGAGGAGATACAGGTGTTTCCTGGGTGTGGGAGCTGGGTGTTGGAACAGTTGATGTTTCTGGTTTTGTCGTGGAAACCTCTGAGGTGGCTGTTGGAAGACTTGTAGTTCCAAGCTGTGATGTGGCCTCTAAGGTTTTTGCTGTAGAGTCTGTGGATGCTGTTGTGGTGGACACCTCTGTTGTCGTTGTGGACGGGGTTTTACTACTTGTATGACATGAAGTCGATCCTACTGTTGAAAGAGTTTAAGGAAGGGAGTCATTGATGTGTCACATAAGTTACAAGGACTTTTTCAGGCTGGAGTGAGTGTTTAGCTCACTAAAATCAAAATTTTTTACCCAATTTTTTTCATTCCATTTTAATTTCCTCTGGAATGTTTACCGCAAGGCTCTAGTCTTTAACGAGTGCTAGGGATTCTACCACAGGGGCCCATCCCTACCTTTAAAGCAAAGACAACAAAGGACATGCAGCCACCTTTTCCCTTGGTAGTAGGCAATATGCTAATACAATGTTTATCCGATAGGCATAATTGATCAAGTACACCTCTTATCTTCCCCATGTGAAGTTTGAAAACTCAGGTCCCTGTGCTTCAGTCAAATATTCTTTAGTTAAAGTACACACACAGATCATGCAGTTAAAATAATTAAAGTTTCCCTATGTCCTACACACTGCCAAGGTGATGAGTAGTAGTCTTCTTCTCTTTTATGGCCCCTTCTTCTTCTCCTTAATCTAGTACTGACTCCTATCAGTTTTCCTGTTCTACTCATCTTCTAATCTGTTGGCGTAAATACTACCCAGTGCCTAGGAACCCTTGCAGCGAGATAAGAAGGTCTCTAAAGAATGTGGTAAGGAGGGAAATGGAGAGGGGAGCTGGCCACCCTCCTTATTTTCAGTTCCTGGGAGAGGATCTAAATAGAACGATCTTGGTTCTAAAGTAAAGGAATGTACTCATAAAACGTCAGAAGAAACCCATCTGCCCAGTGGGAATGTACCTCATCCTGTATAATCCCCTGCGTGTAGGCATGGACAGCCCTCCATGGTGTCCCCTCCTGCTGCCAAGAAGTGAGGGAGTGACACAATGTCCAAAACCTCTCTGTGGAGTCCAAGTTCTTCCTTTGGTCTCAATAAACAGTACACTGGGGCATTTTAGCCCTGGGGTTAAACACAATCCATCCCCTCAAATCTCTCACCCCAGCAAGAGCTCCATGATCCTCTTTTCCTCTCTTCTTTCTCAATTACCCACCTGAAAATCCCAAGGACCTTGCCAGCCCAACAGGACCTTCTTTAGAAAGAAGAGGCAGAAAAAATGCTGTGAATGTGCGCCACAGTCTGGCTGGGCAAAGTAACAGGGGGTGGGGTGAGTGACAAGCAACTTGTGAAGGTTGATACAGCGGGAGCCGCCTCTCTGCTGGACTGCAGAGGTACATATACCCAGCTAATTACACACAGCTTAACTCAATTAACATAAACTAGATACAGCAGTCAGTCATTAAGGAATCTCCACACTTAATGGCTCGCTGGTGTTACTTCACAAACCACTCCCTCTGGCAAAATGCCAGGTGCCATCTTGACTTGTTTACAGACCCTAACAAATGTGCACAGTTGTGAGCCATATAAGGACATTTCAGTAGACCACCTCGAACTGTGGTCCCATGAGGTTGTGACTCCTAGTGATGCTGTAGCCCTCTTTGTTCGAGAGTACTCTGTGGTAAACACATCACAATGATGTGATGACCTAGCAATGCAGTTCTCAGAATGTGTCCTCACCATGAGGAGACGCATGACTGTGAACACCCTCCCTGCTTAAACTCCTCTGCTAGAGCACCTGGTTACACAGCTTCATTTATCTGGTATAAAGTGATCGAGAGAGTGTACAATAATACAGGAGAATTTAGGAGGACTCAAGCCAAAATGCCACTCCCTCCTTCTGGGGACAATGTGAGGACCTAGGGAGCAGGGGGTGGGGAGGGTCTCTGCCTTATCTTCAGATACATAATTGTCTTGATTTCCTTTTGTTTTCCTCACGGACAGTCCTTCAGCCATTCGTTGGTCCCCTCTACTTTCAATCTGAATGTCCCCTTCCCACTTCACTTTTTCTTTTTAACTGGGAAGAGGAGTGAATTCTGTTCTATTTTCAAAATCACACAGGAAGGATGTGGCTGAACCCAAAACAAATCTTTATGGGCAGTTTCCCAAGGCCCCATGTCTCTGTGATGGCCATCAGGGCAGCGGAGAAGGGAAACCTGGAGGCCACTAAATTTGGGGACCCAAAGTACTTTTAGGGGCCCACAGAATGTTTTCATATTAATTTCTTTTACAATAAGAAAAATTATTTTACAATAATTTCATATTAATTTTTTTTTACATAAAAATCAATGAATCCAGCTTCAATTGCATTAGTGGGTTTTTTTGTTTGGTTTGTTGGTTTGGGGTTTTTACAGAAGAAAGGTGCCGAGGAAGGCAAAAATACCTAGGACCTGAGATGTAGCCCTTAATAGATAAAAAGATAAGGACCATAGAAGTCGTTTGAAAACCATCTAATTTCATTTTTTATTTTCCATTAGTTTGATCAGCTTGTACTGATGTTTTTCAACAACAACAAAACAGCTTCCCAAAAGTGAAAGGTTTGTTTAAAAAAATCACAAAGCTGGGCTGAGGTTGTGGATCAGCAGTAGAGTGTTTGCCTTGCACATGTGGGGCACTGGGTTTGATCCTCAGCACCACATGGAAAGAAATAAACAAAATAAAGGTATTGTGTCCATCTACAATTAAAAAAAAATCACAGAGCTAAACTGGGTGTGGTGGTGCACACCTGTAATCCCAGCAACTGAGAGGCTGAGGCAGGAGGATTGCAAGTACAAGGGCAGCCCCAGCAAGTTTGCAAGATTGTCTCAAAATAAAAAGGGATTTAGCTCAGTGGTAAAGTGCCCCTGGGTTCAATCCCCAGTACCTCCATCAACAACAAAAAAGCAAAATCAAAAACAAACAAACAAAAAAATCACAGAGCTAAGTTCTTTCTGACTCAACCCTTAGGTTGATGCTGAGAAATAACCATTATTGTGGTATAACAGCAAACATAGTTTTAACACATTTGCAGTATTTGCTTCTTCATTAAAAATCCTTTTCTTTAAATCAAGAGGTGTCATTCTCTTAAGAAATATGAACAGCGAGGCTGAGGCACTGCTCTTTCCTTGGACAGTGTTGCTTTCTCCAAGGTGACAATAGCCAGTTTTAGAATTCTAGCAGTTGGGAAGTGTGTGTGGTGGGGGGAGGAGAACAAAGGAAGGTGGAATTTGCTCAGTGCATATTGCATTCATGTGTCGAAATATTACACTGAACCACACCAATACTTGTCTCCCCTGGGCACATACTTCAAGAGCCCAGTGGATGCCTGAGACATCTAATAGAACTGAGCCCTACATATACTATCTTATATATACATACCTATAACAAAGTTTTATTAAAAATTAGGCACAGAAAAAGATTAACCATAACTAATAAAAAAATAGAATGATACAGTGTGATAAAATTTATTTAAAATTTATGAATTGTTCACATCTGGAATTTTCTGTACAGCATTATTTTTAGAGTAAATTAAATTCCTACTTTTTTAAAGTTATAGATGGATGCAATACCTTTATTATGTTTGTTTATTTTTTAATGTGGTGCTAAGGATCAAACTCAGCGCCTCATGCATACTAGGCAAGCACTCTACCACTGAGGCACAAATTCCTACATTTTTAGAAAAAAAATTTTAACATTTGTGCCAATCTGGCAGAAAGGTGTGAAATTGGTATACATACTCTAGCCCTGATCATATCCTAACCAGATGTTAATTTAACTAGTCACATTTTGTTTATTTTTTTGGTTTTGTGGTGCTAGGGATCAAACCAGGGGCCTCACTCGTGCTAGGCAAGTGCTCTACCACTGAAACACTGATCTAAACTCCCAGCCTCTCAAACTTTTTTTTATACTGAGGATTGAATCCAGGGATGCTCTACTAGTGCATCCTGAGCCCTTTTTATTTTATTTTGAGACAGGGTCTCACCAAGTCGCCTACACTGGCCTCAAACTTGTAGTCCTCCTGCCTCAGCTCTCCAAGTCACTGGAATTACAAGTGTGCACCACTGCCCCCAGCTTTTTTTTAACCTCATTGCTCACAGGAGGAAGTTCACAGGGAGATGAACTCCCAGGGAAGAATTTAGGTTCAAGTCCAGTTCCTACAGTTGACTGTAATTCCAGCACTTTCTCTTTTTAAGAGAGTCATTTAGACTTTCAAGTGAATGGGAGTGATTATGAATCAGCTCTGACTATTAAGAAAGAAGTGACTCACTTGATTGTGTACTTTCATTAATAATAACTATTTCCTAGAGACACACTTCTAAGCGGACTAAACAAAGACATGGATTAAAAATAGAATTAATGTAGCCCAAAGTTGGGATTTTTTTTTCCTAAGATAAAATAACCAACCTCCTGGAAAAGTTAAGAGAGAAAGAAATGAAAGGGAAAGGAGGAAATCGGGAAGGAAGAATATGGATAAGAAAAGAAAAGAAAAGAAGATTATAGGAATTTTTAAAGGGGGATATAGCTTCAGAAAAAAAGTTTAAGAAAGATAATGCTCTGATGAATTTATAAAAAATGTAAAACTTGAACAAATTGAACATTTTTTTAAAATTTACAATTTATCAAATTTGAACTCAGAAAACCCAGATATAAACTATTATAAGGGGTAGGAAGTATAGGGCGGGGGACAGAGCACTTGCCTAGCATGTGCCAGGTTCTGGGTTCAAACCCCAGTACAAAACAAAAATAAAAACCAACAAAAAAAAACCCAAAATAAGCTATTTTAAATTGCCATCACTTTAAAAAAAGAATCTAGGGGTCTGGAGACGAAGGTCAGTAATACAGAACATGCTAAAGATCCTGGGTTCAATTTCTATCATCACAAAAAAAAAAGAAAAAAAGTAAAAGAAATAAAAAAGAGAATCTATCTTCCTCCAAAAATAGATAGAACAAGATAATTTTATAGGCAATTCAAGGAATAGGCAATTTCAATTTTATACTAACTCTCCCAAAGTTTTGAAAAACACTAGCTCCATGTCTAATGTTATAATGTTAATATAACGTTAGTACACAAACCAAAGACAGAATAAGAAAGGAAAACTATGGATTGATTATCAGTGATAATATACATTGAAACATTGTAAACAAAATATCAGCAAGCCAAATCTA